GCTCCGTACCGATGTCAGCAGTGCAGCGAAACTGCAGAAGAACGGGCTATCACAAGGGATATACCACCGACCACTTGTGCCAGCTGTTTGGTTCACTCGAGCCAAAGCGAGTCCTTCCCGGCTCAGGAGAGCTGATGAGAAGGTGTGGCCAATGGTACGCATAAACGTTCGGCGCTGATGCGGCTTCCATCCATTTACTCGGCGGCCATCAAACAATCGGTCAATCAGTCAATCAATTGGAGAATAAATCGATCAGTCAGTCTGCTCAAATCAGCTGTGCTACTCTTCGCTCGACCGTCTGTCTGTCTGCCTGTCCGTCACTCGGATTCATTCAGCATTAAGGTCGCAGTCTCATCAATCAAAGTGAGCTCAGAGTATCGATCTAATGATCGAGCATGATCGATATCCGATGGACACCAAATTTATTTCTAATAGCAGCTCTCTTTGGCAACTCCATGGAAATCATAGTTCCTCCCGGACACTGAGTGCCTTCGTCTGTGTGTGTGTGAGTCTGTGACTGCGTGAGTGAATTAAAGAAATTGTCAGGAGTTGAATATTCCCGAGAATGTCCCCTCCGAGGTTTATATACGAGTGGTTATTGATCGGTGTATCATTCGCTTCGTTGATCAGTCTGTCTCTGCTTTGCTCAGTTTGACTCGCCTATCGTTTGATGATACAGTTGTTCTGGTGTAGCGTCAGAATCAGAGCTCGGAGAAGGATAAGAGGATCGGGTCGGTATTCGAAAGGTTCGACTTCATCCATCATCATGTCGCACTGACAAATCCAGCGGATAATTTGATAGACGTCAAGATAATTGAATAGTGAGTTCGTTAGATGAGTAGATAGATGTCGGATAGTTTGTGACTAAGAGGATCGATCGAGCGATAACTCGACCGAGTTCTCGGTCGATCGACCAGTCGGTCAATGAATTAGTTGATCAATCAATTTATATGTCGATGATCGATCGACATCGGTATGCAGGACAATTCTCCTCAATATTATTATCAGTATTATTGCATCATTGACTTTCGAGAACTTTGACCCCATTCTTCGCTGCCGCCGCCGTCGTCGTCGACGTCATTCAACTCGAGCGTGTGCACCCACGTACGCGCGCTCGCGCGGCTATTGACACTGCTACGTGAAAGGCTTTCTGCCAGTGGGTCCTCGATTCACGAAGTCATCGATAATTGTATGCGGTTGTATTTCCACTCAGTGGCTCAAGACGGGTTCCCCAGTCAATGTTCCATTTGGGGTTGATGTTGCTTGCCGACCAACACAAGGATTGTCATGTAGATTTCATCTCGTCATTCGCGCTCTCAATGCGGTCTTGTTGCTTTCAAATGTGATGCTCTCAAAAGTCTAAATTAGCGCAGTTCCTCTCACTCTCTTCATTATATATGAACTATCAAAATCAATTCCTCCAGGCTCAAAACAATTGGTAGCCGTCCCTCCTAAGCTCAAGTCCATTATAATCATTGATTTCATGCTTACTATCATGGTTCCCATAGACTCTGCTAGCTTATTCGTCGAAGTACTCTGCAGCAGCAATCTCAATGTACTGTAGTGGACCCGATGATCGGAATGCGGCTCTATGATTCGGCGATAAGAGTTCGAACAATAATAGTATAATTATAGGAATAATGATGAAGCCTTCGAGATTCTAGGTAAGAATGCCGGCGTTCGAGTTGAATGAACATAGCAACTCAATGCCCTCGCTTCCGTACGATTGGAACAAATCAGGGATTGATCGATAATTAACGGAGCCGAATATCAACCAATCGGGTATTCTCAGGTTTTACAATGATTCTTCGGATACGGAACACTCTACGTATGTTAAGTGCTCTGGGATCTCAAATTCGCAAAACAGAGAGACTGAATGAGGTATCATGTCGTCGAAGCGACCGAGATGAGAAAATGAAATTAGTCCACGGCAAAAAATTGTAGCAGCGATTCGTCTGTAGAATTCGCTAGCGAACACCTACCGATAGACGGTATAAGGAAGAAGGGGCGTCCCTATGTAGTTTTTCTTTTCACGCTGAAGTGGAGAGCCACGTCAACTCTATTTGTCGTAAGAATTTCACTCGATTATCACAGCGTGTCGACGTGCGGACGACAAAGAGGTTGCGCGGTCGCTCCAAGACTCTTGATTTGCCTTTTCCAATTGTCCCGAAGAATGTTATTTATGCTGAGCATCTTCCGACAGTAACACACAGAAGGCAGTCCTCGCGGCGACGGGAGGCGGTCCGGATAATCGCAACGCCATTTTGATCCTCGAACCTGTACCAATCGATGTTGTTCTCCTCTCGACGAGGCAATTCCGGTCCGCTTGTGATAACGATAGCTCGAGCGAGCAAATTCTGCAGGAGTTGTGATATCAGAAACGAGAAATCCATATGTGATCCGATTGGAATCAGCGCGTCAGTCCGTGTCCACATTCGCGACATTTTCAATCACCCTGTCCCATTCGAATTTCTCATCCGCTTCCGGTAGCATACGGTGCTCGGGAATCATGCCTTTTATAGCCCGAAACTCGATTTTCCCGGAGGAACATAATCTAGAACACCATAGATGTCGACACCCGTCCTCCTTGATTCCCGTCTGCTCCCAGCAGTAACAGCTACTCATAAGAGTCATGACTGCTCACGGACGCTCGCTTGGAATCCGCTTTGAAAATACTTGGATCGACTCATTTTCCTTCAGAGCCCTAAACGCACTGAGGGGATATGGGCCAGAAAGCCGACTGCTCTGCTGTTCGCTCGTTGGATGCTGCTCAGAATAACTTCAAGCATTCTCGTCGCATTGTTGCGTCGTCATGATCATTCATAAGTGATACATTGCGTACCATGATTCCAAAGAATCATTGACAATTATCGGCGATAAACACCTTCATGAGAACTATGAATTATATTGATTACAATCGAAAGTCAATCGGGCCTCAGATCGACCGTCTTACGAGAAACAGACCCCAGTAAGGCAGTTATAGATCTGTGTGTGGCGTCGAAAGTAAAATCGTCCGGCTCAACAGAACCAATGTCTAGGGCTGGCCTCCTCCACTTCTAGAAACGTCCAGAGGGCAACGTCATACTCAATTGTTGGGTATAATCAATCAAGGGGTAAATCACACTGAAACTGCGGACTGGAAATCCACGACTACCGACTCTGCTCGGGAGTTGCCTATCTTAATAATAATTGTTGTTGCTGTAATGTCGAGATCAGTACTAATATCAGCATCAATATCCTCCGTTATCATCTGATCGATATCACGTTGTTACTGAGTGCTCAACTATTAGGCAGCGCTATTTCCTTAGGTACAAATAGAGAAAGAGGAGAAAATGCTATAAAAGCATATAGGGACGCCCCCCGTCTAGAGATTATCGTCTCAATCAGTCTTCCTCCTTATCATCTCTCGTAGAATGATAATCATCGTATCCATCATGTTTATATAGTCCTCATGATTACTCCTAAAGAACCCCTATCAAGCGATCAGTCATCAATGAATCAACCAATTCGAAAACTATGATGGATTAATATTATTGCACTAGCCGATACTCAGCGTCTACCAGAGGAGAATCTCGGAATCGAACGAGGCAACGATTCTGATGATTCGATTCTCCGCAGGGAAACTTCATGATTCGCTGGCTTCAAGGCTGGCGGCACGGTTGATGAGTGTTTTTCGCTGTTGTTTTGCTGGCAGCTTCGAGGGTAAGTGGCTCGGAAAGCGAGGTGGCGATGAGGTTACCTGTTGAAGCCCTCGCTCCCCGTCAGCGCTCTTCGGGTCGACACCGAACAGCGTGCCGTGCACTTGCGTTGAGGTAGAAGAGCCTGCGTATTTCCTGTTGCCGTCGTCCTCCTGACGGTGATCATGATCGTCATCGGGCGTGACCTCGGTGAAAGATATGACAATCGCTCTTTGAAGGCGCAGCTTGGTATGCTGCGGCTGCCGGCTCACGCTTAGAATCCTGGGAGGAAGCTGAGACCGAACGAGCCCAGTATGATAATCATGATCGTCAGACAGATCAGGATCATTATTTTCTTCTGCAAAACACCAACACGGCCAACAGGCCTCGTTAGTGTATCGTAGCAACCTTGGCGTGAGCATGTCCGTTGGCCGACTACACGGTGTGTACAAAGTGAGTGTGTTGCACTGTCTCTCTGAGCCATTGCTCTTTGCCCGGATCAGGCCAGCGAGAATGACCCCCGTCAGTCGGACAAAGAAAAAACGCCACGAATCAATCGAGACGGAAGGCTTGAGGAAAAGGGGTCTCGGCTTTTTTTGGCCGTCCAACGATGAGATAAAGCATACATGGACATTGATCTCTTCGAAAATAATAACTCAAAATCCGGGCCATCATTCTGCATCCCGCGGAGAAATTAGTGACCGATCCGCGTTCAACGAGGGACAACTCAACCTGATGACGTCATCCGCCATTGTACAGAACCTAAGAAATGATAAGGGACAAGCAACAGAAAATAATTGTGAGGCTTTATTCAATAAGTCTCTCGATCAGCGCTCTCGCGCTATGAACGGAATAAATAACAGCATTGGTGCTCTGACTCCTATAAACATACGTGCTATCGGAAAATTATGGATGAACCGATCCGAAGAATGAAAGCCAGTCAGGGGAGTCTGGCTGAGTTGGATTTTGAAACTTCAAGGTTGGGAGATGCTCCGCAGTCGGGGCTCTTCAAAGATTTGACTAGGAGCACCCGTTTCTCGGAAGCGATACGGAATATTTACAGTCGTTCTCCTGCGGAGCGGCATAATTTTTTTCCCGCTCGTCGTGCATTGTTTTGTTGGTGGTGGATGGCAATAATCTCTACTACTGTGCGTCTGCGGCGGAAAAAGGGGAAATTCGAAGGCGACATGGCACGACCGCACGCTCGAGTAACAACAAAGAGAACAACATCATCAACGATAAATACGACTAGCTCTCGTCGGAGAGACTCCCATCGCGCGAAGAATAGCGCTGCTGCCTCTGCGTGGGCAGCGTATCGCTTCGTCACAATGACGTCGAGAGAATTATCGCGAGAACGATCAGAAGACAAAATCCCAGCCCGAGGAGCAAAATGATTTTCTGCAAAACAAAAGCAACTCCAAATAAAGCGAGACTTGGATTCCGAGTTAAAGGTCATCACAAGGGATCATCATGTACATAACAAAGCTGAACGGTCGGCGAGAGGTGAACAGATAGGGGGAATGTTGGGGCATGCGGACGTCAGGGGGCAGCAGTAGAGGATGAAAGAAGACCTCGTCGGCTGAGACGGTCGAACGAGCTCATCTCAGACTCGAGCAAACAAAGTGAAGAGCGCCCAGAGGGATTCAAGTCATCCTCCCTTCTTCCGCATGCTCGACCTGCACGTGATTCGCAGGAAGAATAGAATCGGGATCAGCGTTCCTTTTTGTCGGCCTCCGTGGGAGCACTGACTGAGCGGGAGAGCTTCACGACTCACGACCAGACATTCTCAGAGGGACACGGTGGAATTGGATGACGGAATAAGCGTGAGAACGTTGGAGACGGGGCGCGGCTCCACGCCTTGGTTCTCATTCGACCGACTGAGACAGTTCGAGAAGGGAGAGGAAGAGTGTTTCTTGTGGGGAACAATGTCGAGATGGGCGCAAAAACTCACCCTGCGAGCTTTGCTCTGGTAGACGAGAGCTTTCTTGGTGTCCTGTTTGGCGGTTTCGATGTAATCCCGCGCGTGTTCGACGTGGTACTCGATTCGGTCGATCATCTCTCCTTGTGACTCGACCAACATCGCCATATCCATGAACATGTCGTGAAGTTCCCTGATCGAGTTTTCTAGCTTCATAATATCGGCGTGGCGTGCTTCAATATCGGCTAAGGTTTGCTTTGCTTGTTGAGTTTCCATGATAATGCCTTGTGTGAATATGGCTGGGTTCCCCGTCTCCAACATTTCTTCGAGTTCTTCGTTTGTCGTCACTCGACCTGAGAGGAAAACGGTCATGCATTAGGATACCCAGCTGTGCAGAAAGCCAATGAGAAGCTCCGATTTGGACGCACTGATGGTGCGTTCATCCTACCAGTGATTTCCAGTTGTCGTTGTATCCTGGCTTTGCAACGTTCCCTGTAGTCTGTTTGGGTTTTGTTGTAGTCCGTCATGACTTCGACGAACTTTTGTGAGAGCATACTGTGCTGAGTTTTGCGAATGCGGAAGTCCGCGCTCATCATCTGAGACTGCTCGAGTTGCTCGATGCTCTGCTCCATGTGCTTGAGTTTTTGACGGACTCGATTCGCCGTCTTCTTGATATCCGCCATCATGTCGTCTAGCTCCTGCTTCACCTGTTAGGAACACGAATCGCATCGTTCGCATTCGACGCCTAATCACTTATGATCAGAATGACCAACGAACGAAAAACAAATCCCATCGGAGCGGTACTCATTTCTACAGCCGCCGCCGCACCGGCATATCGCCGAGGTCAGGGCGGAATGCTGTACACCTTACCTTTTCGTCCGTCTGCGGCGCGGAGAGAATCGATGAATGCTTCTTCTTGACTTCTTCAACATTTGTCTGGATCTTGTCGATGTTTTCCCGGATTTCTTCGACCTCGGCGAAGAAATCATCCATGAATCCCTGAGCCCGCTGCTCCTCGACGCTGACGGCAACGTCGTCATTGTCCCCCTGGGCCTGAAATTCGGAAACGATGAGCTCCGATTCTCACGGAGACGGGGGAACTAGGTGTCTTTTGCCCGAAAGCTAAGACAAGGGCGCTGACAACTCGAAGGAATGAGCACCCAATTCTGCAGGATCGAGCGCGGTGGCGTATGAGCGCGCTTCGCCGTCGACAATTCGTCTTGTTCTCGATCATGGCATCAATACAGAGCCTGTCCGAGGAAGGCGCTGTTTTATTTACGAAGTGAGCTTTTTCGAACCAGGCTCTCATGGTAGCTAGCCTCCCTGCGTCATATGCTATGGGCTATGAGTCCCTGTATCATGGTCGAGAGACGACTTTCGCGGCAGCAGATTCACATTTTTCTCCGTGTCGCTGAATCGACCCGCTGTCTCGATGATCCCGCCTGATAAGCTCAATTCTCCACGAGCGAGACGCGCGACCGCTTGTTGTGGCGGGTTTCGGCGCTTGCTGCGACTGACTGACTAATTTATTTTCCATCCTGTCGGGACATATGACGTCAAAGATGCTCGATATAAATCCCTAGGGAGAGGATCGGCTTGACCCGTGGATTTTCCTAGAGCTCCGCCAGATGAAGTCGATATTCCGAATGCCCTCAGACAGTACGCGATTATCGGAAGATCACTTTCCAGATGCGGCTTCTGAATGTGATTGGATTCCTCCAAAGGACGTGAAGTTCGCGCGGTCATCTTCATAAATATATACGTGATCCTTTCAGCATGTAGGGGGATCACTTCAGGTTTAGAAACCGAAATGCAATCAGTCATCAGTATCCGCTGTAGTCCCGCGCGATCGATGCAAGCTGCCCACTGTTCTAGCCTAGCCCACCGCTTTGGTCGCTATCGAGCGTTCAGCTCCACAGCAGAGAGCGTTCCCCCGGGTTTCGCGAACGGGTGAGCTAGAGAGCTTAAACTTCCAGTGAGGTGAAAAGCCCACACTCCCGGTCGTTACACTGGTGTCCCTTACAGATTCCGCCCCTCGCCAGAAAAAAACTGCCGCAACTAGCGTCTAAGACACTACCGTCTGTCTGGCGTGAAACGTCTTCCCGCGTTGATAGGGCTTCCCAAACTCCAACTCAGACGCCTCAGCGAGTTTTCTCTGATGGAGCCAGTGCAACCACTCGGCTCGTATTCCGAACATCCGTCATCTAGCTTTGGGATTAACGACGGACTAATGCGCCAGCTCACTCAGGACTCGGGCAGATTTACAAGGGCATCAGAGCTCGAGTTTCGGGTGCAAGGGTGCCCGACTATTGGAGAGTACGGTGGTCCTCCTATTCCCAATACCCACGTAAGCGACTGCAAGAGTCATGAGTCATGATACGTCCTGATGTGGTGAAGCAGCCAGATTCGATGGCCTTTCCTGCTTCACTCGCTCCGATTCACCTGCCAGGAGTTCAAGATTGATTCCTGTTCGAGAATCACGGCGCGGCGATAAAAGATCCCGATTCAAGAGATTCCTCCAAGGAGAATCCCCCGTCCTCTCACATCTCCCCAGGGGCGCACGACTCAAACAGAACGAATTTGATCGATTCTTCAAAGCTGTTGCGAATGGAAAGGAGGGAGATTCATCGAGTGTGACCCGAAAACGGCACCGTGACCGGATGATCTCATCTTCCATCATGCAAGGGAGTTGCACAGATTCCTGCGTAAGAAAGGACGAGGGAATCCCCCGAGCAATGGGCATTTTTCAGGAGGCAACGGTAGTTAGACACAAACGATATTCCTCAGCTATCAACCCACGGACTCGAGCGCAGAATTTTCCGGCAATTTGAGAAATCGATATGCCTGGGCGAGCGCGATTTGCTCCACGATCGTGAAGATTAAGGTGGACGTACAGGAAGCAGCCTCGGAATGCCGTTTGGATAGGCGTGTCATCCAATCCCAATTGAGTCAGGGTAGGATGGTATGAATCCTCGGCTCTGCGACCGGCCGCGTCAACTCTGAGGCTGTACAGACCGTCAATGAATAGCCGCGACCCACGACGATCGATCGGATCCCATTGTCACCAATTGGTCTCATTCCATTTTGGTTTGATAGGATGGAATTAGTAGATCCCATAGGGAGCTTTGCCGTCTCGGAGCATGAAGGGGAGGATTCTCCATAGCCACAGTGTCGACCCTGACGCCTCCACTCATGATAGGCATCGCGGCGAAGACTGGGCTCTAGCTGGCGAGCTAGAAAAGGGGCGAATTTCCCCGCGCTATTCGATCATCTGAACGGCGAAGAGCCCATCAACGAGGGTACGTACGTCAGTCCTGAGGGAATGGCGGCCCAATGAACCGAGGAGACGCAATCTCAAACCGTCGCCGATTATCTCAAACTGAAGTTGGAGTGTGGCGATACCTAGATGAACCCACTCCGCGAGAGCGATCGTGATCCACCTTCACGACGCGATTGTTTCAGAGAATACATTAATAAATGAAGGGAAGCATCATTTACGGGCATTTTCCGACTCATCCGGAGCTGCGTACGAACATCCCCGGAAAACTTCCGAGGACCTTCGGAATCGGCCGTGAGCTCGGAGAGAGTATCTCCTGTATATGTTTGAGCAACTCCCTGGGGCGTCCTGCACGAGTAATTGTCCAGTCGCGCGCGAGTTTTAGGCATGTGGAGGCGGGAAGGATTTCGCTGCATTGAGGACGGAAATTTCCGATCCGGCTACTCAAGCCATTCCAAAGACGTTTCACGTCCGGAAAGGTTCGGCTTTTTCGGCCGTCGCGTAGCAATCCGGAATACTCCGACCACCTCGGACGATGGGGAATGCTCACGACACGGAGGAGGCTCCGTTCGCTCATTTTTGCGAGGGAGAGCCTTCCACTGTGGCTGGAATCTCTTTCACGGTTCCATAGGTCGCACAAGGTCGACTCTCGGTCGAGCTCGGCGTTCATCGCAGATACAACATGCGCAATGAAGCCTTGACTCCAGGACAGCGCAAAAGAGTGCGTGGAAGGAGGCGTGAATGAAAGCTGTGGAATACACCGCGTGCGAAAAGAAGCCCTAATCGCAATCTCGCAAAGGCGCGATGTGTTTTATGAAAGCCAGTCTCATATCTCTATGCGAGTTCCGACCGCGGACGAAGATGGAGATGCGCTTTCGGTAGCTTCCAGAGGTCTCGGCGGCTCTCATTTCACGATCGCTTCATACGATTCGCTCCGGCTCTAAGGTTCGTCTTGACTGAGATTCCGGGATCCCCATTGTTCTTGGGATCAGGATTCCCCGGACTTGATTCTACTGCACCGGATCCGATGAATGCTCGAATCCCGAAATCGTGGGAAGTGGTAAGCAGACGATAAAGTCTCCTGCTACATGTTTGTGGTCCGAATAGAGGTCGATAACTTGGCAAACCACCCGCCGATAGGCAATGAGCGAAAGTTGTGAGAATGAGCGGGCGTCCAGCCTGCGGCAAGGTTCATGCCTCAAGGAAGAGGACGCAAGCGCCGACAATGAAAAGGATGCGGAGGAGGAAGAACAGAACAGCCTCCGAGCTCATTCGGTAGCTGCGGCGAGCGAAGGCCCCCGTTATCAGACAAGCCGTCGTTTACCTCATTATTCTGAAAGCCTCAACCTCTCGAGAGCGAGCGGCATGGAGTGGGAGCACAAGCGATTTCTCCGGCAACAACACCCACTCACATCCGACGAGGCCAGTCTTCATCTTTAATTTTCCTCTCCCCTTCGCCTGCTGATCATCGTATCTCTACACGATTCGCCGGCTTCCTGTCCTCGTTATCTTCCCTTCTTAGTCGCGAGATAAAGTTTTCGCACTTATCCGTTCGCAGACTGTATGCGGCGACGAGTTAGAGCGAGCATCCTGGCTACAGAAAGAGAAGATGGGCGACTCCTGATGTGACCGAAGATGAGGAAGCAGCTGGGCCAACGCTGCCGGACAAACCCTGTTCCTCATCTGGAAGCGACCTCGAAAGCGTAGTCTCACCATCCACGTTGTGGACTCAAAGAACTTCCCTGTGCCATCGAGCTCGTCCACCCAAGGATTGTATCGACGAACATAATTTTTTTCCCCCTGGAACCCCCAAGAATTCCCGGTACCCGCGCACATCATCCCGGAGAACATCCGAGGACAACGTGTTGTATCAATCGTGTGCTCCCATTAGTCCGAAATACACTTTCGACCCGTCATTCGAGCGCGAACATCCAGAGCGGCGAGCTTCTCTAGTCGCTTCACCGCCGTTCGCTCTGCTTCTATCAGACTTCTTAGCCTTCCGTACGGGTTCATCGCTGAGTCCGCGGGTCGAAATTATGCAGTCTTGCAATTACCATGCGCTAGCAATCCTGCTGGGTGCTTTCCTGACCACGGACTCGACGGGGGAGCCGAGACGGAATCTTATCGAGTCCGATACTCCTTGGAGCTGCCATAGGATTGATTCGAAACTCTTCTCGATAGTCTCCCGACATCGGAACTGAAGCGGAAGTTACTCGAAGATCGATGCTCCGACAACTGCGATAGATCTCCAGCACGAGGAATCCCCCTCTGTGGTCAGTCTGCAACCTCGTCGAATCAATCAGAAAGTCATCACCGCGGTGAAACGAAGATCCTCGATCTGAGTACAAACATCCCGCAGGACTTTTCACGGAGTCAGTCTGTTTGATAAGAAGGAATGGCTGGAGAGATCCCCGGGGAGATCTCATGGCTCTCTTCGGTCCGGTGGGAAGGTCTCTGGAGTTCCAGAGTCTGGATACCTTCAAAAGTAGCCGCGGCGAGCCGAAGGAGCACGGATTCCTGAGCACAGGACGAGCCGCGTCATCCAGGAAGTCCCCGTCCATCTGAAGACTGGCGCCATTACGCCCTAGATGGACCCGGACGCTTAGCTTCTCGTCATCGTCGTCTCGGAGGCGGCAGACTGGCGGTCGGTTGGTCAGGCGGGCGGGCGGTCGAGCGCACTAAAGTCTTCTGCCTCGAACACTGCATTAGTCTGCGTGAAACCACTTTGTCTGAACAATTGAGCAAACGTGAAAGGAGCCAGCAGAAACGGAGCTCGGTCAAGCTGGTGAACAGGAAAGGACCCATTCGACTGCGCGCGAATTCCTCCGCTCTGAGACTGATTCGACCCTCGATGATCATCATGATGCTTCTGAGAGTTTACTCTATTCCGCTCGACGTTCACCTCGTGCGCCGGCAGAGCTCGCAGAGACTGGAGATGATCCGTCGGCGCCGCTGCCTTGCGGGCTCAAGAACGTTCCAACGCCGCGCGCCGTCGCAGGAAAAAAATGATAAAGTCACGTAATGGCGAGCGAATACGGAGCGGGTGGGAAAACCGTCAAGATACTATAACCAAGTCGACCGCAAGGCCCGCCAGTCCTCCGGCGCGTCACTCGGCGACGCACCCAGCTGGCGAAGCAATCGAGAGAAAGTCTCTTCGCACCGCGAACGTCAAATGGAGAGACGCGCGATGCTACGGCAGCCTTGGCGCCGCGAAGGCCGACCCGAAGCCGGCTTGGCGGACTTCGTGGACGGGTTCACGCAAAGTGCGGTAAGGCCGCCAGCTAGCGAGTTGGCGCCCTCATTGACGTCTGATAATGGACCTAGCGGGACACAGAAGCGACTTTCCGGGTGGATTACCTTCAGAACATTCCTCCGTCAGACTCTTGAAACTCTATCTGATGGAATCGACGGCGGAAGATCGCAAGTCGATGCAAATCACTGAGAGGGGATCAACCGCCGCGCCGTCCCGTGTATGTATTCCGCCAGGTCAACGGTCCGTCGAATTGATAGGGGCGACGAGCATGTGTCGAATGCAATCATGAAGATAGCTATATGGCGAATCATAGATGGAGTGTACGTCGGGAAAGCTAGCCATCCAATCGATCGGCCAATCGATGGCACTTTCCTCGCTCGAGTGACTCGTTAACTTCTCTGTGCGCGGAGCGAATCTCAATGGGTCGGCCGTACAGAGCGAGGCGCGCAAGGCTATCGATCCTATATCTTTCATTCAGAATTTTGTTCACGGGAGATGATCCAGAAAATTCCATTCGAGAGCACTCCCTTAATTTTTGAAGGTTGTCTGAGCGGAATGATGCTGGAGCCCGGATCCCATGCTTGACTGATGGTAAACGTAGCTCTGATGGGTAGAACAACGCCCACGCCCGGAACAAACTTGAACTCTCGATGTTGGTTGTTCCTGACCGTCTGCTCCAGCTCTGGGAGCGCATGGGACCGTTGACCTTTGCTGCTCGGTTTGCTTTGAGGACGTCCGTGAGACGAGTGAAACGAGATATTCTCGAACACGATATTCATGAATTTATAGCAGGATATATCCGGCACCGAGTGGGACGCACCGAGGCCGCATTCAGGAGCGAGCGTTCGAAGCCTGGAAATATCGCCATCACTCGAGTTCCGGATCGGAGCTTGAGCTTCCCCGATCGCAGATGAAAATTTCATGCAATCAATCATGGAAAAGTGGAGCCCGCGAATCATTCCGCAGACGCTCCCGAAATGAGACGACGCGACGGACCACGCTCGTTCTTCATTCAAAAGAAATGCCCCTTCCGAACGCGAACGAGCAAGACGCTGAGGACGCCGCCCGGGAGCCCGAGATAGATCTTCGAGTGACCAAATGGGGTTTGGTAAGGCTCGCTCCCGGGGCGAGAGGTCGCGCAGGAATTCTTCACTTTCGGTCTCTTCTCTCCGATAGGAGAATTTGATCATGAAAAGAATTCTGCTGGCGCTGAATGACCACCAGCGCACCCACCAGCATCGCTTGGCGCTATGCATTTAGCATTTATTCTTCGAGAGTCGTTTGTTGACTGCTATGCAGTTCCCGGCGAAAACCACGAACAAAAAAAATTCTGCTTTCCGCGGGATCCACTAAGGACTGATTCGCATCAAAACTCAGCCATAGCGGAGAGCGGGTCATTTTGGTCTCCGTGATCCCCCGTCGGCCACGGGGCAGATCCACGCAAGAAGCAAACAACGGAAAACTGGGACGACCAGCGTCTAATTCGGATCTCCAGGCGAGCGACGATAATCGGCAGCGAAGGTGCCCAAGACATACGATTGCAACGAGATGATCGTGAGTCACCCGACCACAGGATTCATTTCGCGTTCGCTCCCGACAAGAAGCGGGTTAGATTCAATGATACAAAACGATCGGAGCAGCGGGTCGGTGGTCGTGGAGCGGAAAAAAAGTTCTTGGACGCCCATGTTTTCGCCTCACGTCCGGAGAGAGCTCGCTCCGACCTCATGGGGTTACGGAGGAACGTTTACGTAGAACAGAGATGTTTCTAGATAGAAGCGAGGCGGGACAGGAGTTCCCTCGATTAAAACGAGCCCCTTCGATGCCGAGCACGCTGAGGAGCAAGCGCCGTTTGACGCTGCGCTCCGAAGAGGAATCGAATTGTGGGACAGAAATAATTTTCAATATGATCCCGCTGGAAACGAGAACAACACGAACAGGTATCTGTGCCGTCGTCGCGCACGACATCAGAGAGGACACCGCATTCCCCACCGCGGAAAATGGTGGACAGCAGCGTGAGGTGTGGGGAATAGAAGCGAGCTCGAGCCGAGGACGGGCGCGGCAATGACCACTCGCTTGTCCGCGTTTTCTATTATTTGGCCCATTCGAAGGCTCCAGAGAGCCAGCTCGCCGACCCCGTCGCTGACTGCTATTGGCTCGCCGTTGGTAAGTTTGTTCTCGCGTTTGTCTGAGTTTGTGAGTGTGTCAAAGATCTGGCCGTCAGCATGAGTGGAGTGGATCTAGCTCCGACCGACGATAGAAACAGCGTGTTAGCCAGCTCCCTTGCTCTCGTTCGTCACCGTCCGCTCACAGCCAGCGCTCGCTGTTCCCGGTCGGCGAAACTAGCACGGAAACAAAAGCAGCGTCGGAATATCTTGCGCTCCGATCTCTTGGTCTCCGGCCATGAATCCGACCAGAACTTCGGGCCCGAGCAAACCGAACGCCCATCGGGCGGGTGCGGGGAGAGCGTCGAGCAAACGTACGTCGGTAACGAATTTCGGACCGAGGCCCTAAAGTGTTAGGCTGCTGGCGGACCAGCTCGGCACATCATGCGGCATAAAACTATATATGTGGTTCACATAGGGGATGAGTTGGAACGGAATCGAGATCAATAGGACTGCAGTCGACGCCGGGGCCGCTGCTGCTCTGCGCAGTGAATTCCGAGACCTGAATAGCGATAATAATAATAATCGATGGACGTTTCGCGCTTGTCTCGATGGGGCTCACAGTCGATCTTGAGCTTCATTTTCTCTTCCGCTTCCCCGACGACGTTTTCATCATCTACCTACGGCGATACTTCTGACGACCGCGTTTCGAATCCTGGACCCCTGATTGCCAGAAGGGCTAGCGTACGTTCGGCTACCGTGGGGATCAGCCTCGCGCACAACGCACGGAAGCAAGTGATGAAAGTCATTAAGAACAAACAACAAGAGATTGTACTCACCGCCCGCAGGGCCGCTAGCCTGTCTTTTGTCATTGTGAAGGAGAAGAGATTATGATGAGCTGTTTCGGCTACGACTGTTGTTTCTGGGGACGGCGGGGCTCGCCGTCAGACTGCTGCTCCTGCTCCCGCACTCGCTGCCTTCGCAACAACTGCAGCTAAGACCGGTGGCGATCGTGGTCGCGGCTAATGCGGTGAAATCGGTGGAATTCACATGCGGCGACCACTTCGCCGTGATCTGTTTGCTTGCTCTTGCCGTTTTTGTTGTTGGAGTAGTTGTTGTTGTTGTCGCTGCTGCTGCAACGTTGGTATTTATTCCGTGGCCGAAACTTGATTTTCAAAGGAAAAAACGACACAATTCACCAATCTCCGCGACGTCGAACAACACACGAACTTCCGAGCATCGAACTTGTCGGTTACTCGTCTGCACTCACTCGGTCACTTCGTTGCAGTGGTGGTCGTGGCTCCTACTGTGACCGTTGTCTGACGCGACCCACCACCGATCCTCATCGAAACCTCTTATCCTACTCAGCCCTGACGGATGTTGCTGCCGCTCAGCAGTTCCAGTCGACAGTTAACACGTCGTCGTGTCGTTTCGGGGTGGTGGTGGCGGTGGTGGTGGTGGTCGTCGTCGACAATGTCGATTGCAGAGAGAACGTTATATCTATCACTTATTTCTCGCTCGAGAATATTGCCTTCATGCACTTAATCCTTGTGGTTGTTGTAGCCGATGTGGTAGCATTGATGGTAGCAGTTGTCTTCGGCTTCGTCGCGTTAGCTGCAGAAAATCTTGTACCAGAGCTGTTGTTGCTGCAGCAGCAGCAGCAGCAGCAACTGTTCTCCTGTAGGTGGGCAGGCAGGCGAGCGGATAGGTATGTACGTAAGTATTCCTAGGTTTGTAGTAGTTCCTTGTGGCTGGTGTTGAAGCAGCTCCTCGCTGTTGTAGTTGGAGGATTTGTTGTTGCTGCTTCCGCCGTTCTTGTTGTTGTTGAGGGCGACGAATCGCGACAACGATGCGTTCCTTGCCTCGACCCTCCTTTACTAGTGCTTGTAGCGGCGGCAGCAGCGGCAGCAGCAGCACAGTCGGAGTTGTTCTCCTGTGTGGCCTGCTGCTGCCTCTATTGATCGGCAGCAGGCGACGGCGAGCATGTAGCCGGCGCCCTCTGGTGACTATCGGTATACTCTACTGCGGCATAGGATCCACACAGCCAATCCCGACTGCCTATCCTGCTGCTTGCCAGCCAGCTGGCGTCAACGCCGCACCCTCAGACCCTACTCCTGGTGGTGGTGGTGCTGCTGCTGCTGTTCCCGCTCCACATTCAGCCGCACAGCGGCCCGCTCGCCCGTCGTCCAACCCGCCCGCTGGAAATCCCGCCAGACAGCTCACCACTGACCTAACATTAGCTCGGTGGAATCTCGAGGGGAGATCTCCGAGATTTGCTTCATCGCGTTCTCCCGCATTTCGGAGAGAGTCGTGACCGTCTTAGATTATTCAGACGCTCGATTATTATCCAGACGAAGAATTACAAAAAAAAGCCCCACTAGTTTGACATGGTTTCCTACGGGGGGGGAGGGGATCTATGGCGAGCCGGTCTGCGACCAGTCGGTCAGAGGTCTTGTCCGCGAATCATTCGTGTCATCAACCCTAACCAGACTGATTCTCCAGGACCTCCCTAAATCGTTTCCGAACAGAGACAGAAATTTCTTCAGACTCCGATGAAGATCGGGGGAATTCGTAAAATTCTTCTGCCCTCGAGGAGATTCCTGTTTCCCTCCTTGGATGGCGCTGCGAACCGTCATAGGCCGTCGAGCATGGATGGGGTTCAAGCCTTGTGTCAGTTCCATAGTTTCTTCCGTTTGGGATCTTAGAAGGGGTCGCTGCTGGTTGCTCGGAACTCGATATCAAATCGAGGGGATGATGTCGATGACCACCCCTGACGGTACCTGAATCGTGCCTTGGCGCCCGGCGCTCTTTCGAACGCAAATTCTCGGAGACACCGCCCCTCGAGGAGCCCGCCGAAAGGGTCCGCTAAACCGCACCCGATGACGTCGTGGGTCTCTGCGTATATTTCGACTCTCCTGTCCGTTCCCTTCTCCTCGCTCTGAGCAAGAGGCCTCCGTCCTGTATGACGTCAGGCTGTGTGGCCTTTCGTCATACCTACGCCTCGGCAGTGTTGCCGCCCTAGTCGTCGCCGCCGCCGCCCACAGAGTGTTTATCGTCTGCGGCGGGATCTGGTCAGTTTCCTCGCTAATAGCTCGGATGAGGAATAGCGAGAGGATCGGGAGCACCGTATCCCTCGTCTGGGAGTTTTTTTTGAAGCGGCCCCGAAGTCGCGAAAATGAGTGACCTTTCGCCGAGTATCTATTGAGGATATTTTCATTCGATTCCTTATTTCATGTGGACATCGGCTCCGCTTTCCGATCCGTGATCGTCGGATCATCGCGAATCTCGCGTGTCGCCGGCTCAGGGAACGCTGTCAAGTCCCCCCTGATTACGTGGCTAACGTGAGATGCGGGGAGCGTGCTCTTTGAAAAGCTTCAGGCGGGATGAGAGCGATGCGGAGCCACGTGCTTGTTGGACAAGGAATAATAACAGATCCTAGGCTCTCGATGAGGCTTCAAAGCCCGAAAGCATCGTCCGCTCCGAGCGTTCAAGGGTTGTAAACAAGATCAATCCGATGGGAGAAATCCGACCGGATGAATTTATGGCGGGCGCCATTGCATAGCTCGATATGCGGCGCTCGTCCTTTCCCGAGTCGGCAGAAGTTCTATCAGGTACTTCCCACGCTGTCGCCAAGCATGGAGGTCGTGACATTAGAACCGCTGATTATTATTAAGGGCATCACAATAATCATTCTGACGCTGTCGCATCACTGGATTCCGACGCTTTCGGGAGAGTACCAGAACATAAGATGGACTTCTTCAATGGCATGCTTTCCAGCCGCAGGATGGTTCAAATTTCCAGCGCTACAGCTCGGTGAGCTGACGAATCGAACGGATGATACCAGGATCCGATTCTTCTGATTCACCTTTAGGCCCTGGATATTTCGGCGGAACTGAGTATCGAGCTGGAAACGAGCGACTCCGGCACGGCGATTCGATGGTAGCAGGGGCGTACTCCAAGGATATCCTCTAGCTTATCTCTGTCCATCTTGAGAACAACGCCTGAGGGAAGCCGAGCGGCGTGGTGCTTGGCGATGCGCCAAGCTCAGTTCTCGGAGCGATCGCCCTCGAGCGGAAGATCTTCATAGGGGGACTTTTGATTCCTTTATTAACACTCGGCTTATACCGAAAAAATAGAAAAATTACTGTCCTAGTCCTCGCCGCTGTCATCCGTTGCCCTTCAAGGCGACGACCGGGAAGTCGGCTCGGTCGTCGGAGCTGGTCCAGAATCCGATTCTAGTACAACCCCGGTCGTAAGGGATTCTCGGTGGAAATAATCTTCGGAACGAGAGTCTTGCTAGATCGACCCGCTACGCCGACCGCAGAGAGCCTATTGAGGGCGTGTGGGTGGTATTTTGTGCTCCTATCCCGCAAAGCACACAGCATCTGGATTCTCAGCCGTTGACGTGACCACGGGTTCAGAAGCTCCTCTCTAGACAGAATACCACGCAGCGGGTAACACATCATTCCGCCGGACTTCGATCTGGCTGAAGATTTCTTCAAGGTAGATGATTGATCCGTCTGCGAACCATGGGGAGACTCTGTAGCACAAGTCCTTACAGTCTTATACGGAGAAAGGTTCCCCCGCTGTTCCCTTGCCGGCGGATATCCTGTACGGATGGTGTCCGCCGGAGAGACTGCTCGTAAGTCAGAGAGCTCTCGCACGTCGATTTAGCTGCGGAACATGCTTGGTGCTTGCGGGTCGATGAGAGTCGAGCATTCATGAACGCTCGTGGGATTGAGAGTCCGGAGTGCTGTGTTCCCACAAGGAACAGCCTGATGTGAATGCGGTTCCCCACAACGATCATAGACGTCATTCCCTTCTGTGATGAATTCGCGGTTCCCTCTCTAATCCGTATCGAATTCACATTATCATCGAGCGATTTTCTCCATCCGCTGTCCCGCAAGAAGATCCCCCGATGAACCCAAAAATCGGTTGACCAAGCTACTCACGCGATTGACTTTGGGTAAGTTTTCAAATCTCGCGGGGGGTCCCTTCCTCGGTGTTTATTCTGCGCTTTGCCCTTTCTCCTCGAATATTGCGGGTAGACCTGAACTTTAACTTGTACGCTCGTAAGTATGGCCAAGACACCGCACAATGGGTCCATGGGGAGCCCGTACAAGAAGCACGGGGGAAGATTGCACAAATGCGGAAGCTGTTGATTGAAGAGACTTCGGATTGGAGACAATGATGCCGGTGATCTTTGCTGATGGTTCGAGTGCGATCGGGCGGTCCCTTATATCAGCATCGAGTTTCGGTCTGATAAACCTTGCTTGAGGAGTATCACGTTGAATCACGGTGAATCTCGCTGAGCTAGAAGCTAGAAGGCTCCTAGTACGGCTTCCCTTTCCGAAATACCGTGGAAGCCCTTTACAGTGAACCTTGTCGATCCGCCAAAAAGCGTCCACTGAGAGCGAGAGTCCCTGTCGGGAGTGCATAACATGGGTAATATGGGGCTTTGGACCCGGAAAATCGTTCCATAATAGGCGGAAGTCCACTGTAATGGAGTCCACCATAGCGGGATTCCATTAAGTGTATGAAATCTTCAAGATCCCGATTAACACCGGGATGTGGCATTCCAGCCCCCGCACGCCGGGTGCCCCGTGGATGTGGAAGAATCTTGAACAATCTTGACGGAGGAAATCATCCGAAGCGAGAAACGCATCTTGGAGACATCATTTGAAAGAGCGTGAGTCGAGCTTATGGGGGGGACCCAAGACCTATTGTGGCATGTGGTAATGATGATGACATTGATCCGTACAGATAGCCCCGAACGAATCGGGCGTTGTTTCAAGTCTTCGATATATGAATGATTATCTCGTCGACTTGCGAATGTTCCGAGAGGGAAAACGTGTTTCTCGATCACAAGACCGCTCTGACTTGCGGACTTTTTTCAGCTGACAAGAAACTTCGGAGAACATAGATCCCACATTCCACCTCCTCCCCTTGCTTCTATTCTGTTTAGCAATCGCGAGAATGTACGCCATCTTGGAACGGAGTGATGACCACACTGTTACCGAGACAGCCCGAGAGTCACAGTAACAGAGAGTCATATGATTATTTAAAGAGTGTGGACACGGCCTCCATTACTGTTTCTGTTCTTCGGAAAGAGCGATCATGGCTCACAGAATCTCCGATATCGAGTTCCGGACACAGATACAGGGCATAACGAGGAATTTCAACGAAATGAGGTGAGTGTTCTCCGAGGAACTAAAAATGAGGAATGATCGTCGACATCTCTCATCGACACGTTCTCTCAGCAGAGTACATGCAATCCTCTTGATGAGGGCGGGAGCAGCGCTCCGGGGAAGATCCCTCGTAGGGAAACATTCCCTCTCGACTGCCGATGGTGTCGGAGGAGTTCTCTGGGTCCAATGCTTTGATCCAGTGGAATGACTCATGAACAGCAAGGAAACTCCGGCGACCACTGCGAATCGGTCTGAATGGGTCTGAGGATTCGCTTGGAATGGGTTTTGCACGAGAATTTTCCCAGCTTCGGCCCGGCTATTCCTGGCGGGATCTCGGATACGCGACCTCCACGCTTTCCCCCTGGCAGATGATTGGGATCTATGACGCAGTCTCGCCGGGAATCCGAGGAGTTCCGTTGCTCAGCTGCGAGGAGGAAACGTGTTTGTTACTCTGATGGGGAGTTGGAAGCTCGTCGCTGTATGGTTCAACGCATTCATCATGATTCGAGGCAGGAGCGCACGTTCAGTTGACTAGCGGGGTCTGGGGCCTGGCAAAACCAGTTGACAGGGAAATATTATTTTACACTTCTCGTGGACGGACTCGCGATCGAAAATCGATATGTCACCCCCGCTCCGGTGGATCCCGATTTGTCGCGGGAATAACAAGATTAGACGCGTTCTCGATTGCAGTAACGACGAGTTGAAGACTCTGGTCGAATGCGACGATGCCATCATCGATACCCAGTTCACGGACTGCTCAGCTGCTCGAGCAATGGAGCGAACGCGGAAATCTCTGATCGAGAACAATCGTCTAATAGCGCAGGAGAATATCGAGAAGGAGACCCGATTTTTTGACCTGCGGAATACGTTGCTCAAGATGTACCAAGAAGCCAAGGACCTCAAACATTCAATTGAAGAGATGCAGGACCGAAATCCTCGATTGAAGTCGGCAACTGCCGATCTGGATTCCATACAGGCTGTTCTAGAAGCTGCTGCGAGAGACGCCGAGGATGTGTCAGAGGTAGGAATTTTTCGGACGCGGGTTAACATCTGGCATGTGGTCGGATTTCGATGATCGAAAAACCCCTATGGGGAGTCAATAGAATTTCAATTTTACTTTCAAGAAAATCGCCACTGAGTTTCTCGACGCCCGGATCTCGGCCGATGATTTCCTAGCGACTTTCGTAGATAAACGAAGGGAATCCCAGCTGAGAAGAGTGAATGCCGAGAAGGTCGTTGACCTGCTTCGAGAGCGAAGAAGAACTCCAGCCGTTCAACCGATGCCCCTCTACCCAGGTCAGGGAATGATGCCTCCATTGGGTCCTCCAATGACCTATCAACCTCCGTCGATGCCCCAAATGGGTTACGGTGTACCGCCGTATCTTCCGTATCCAGCTTACCCGCCTGCCGGACCGATGAGCATGCCAACACCCGGGACTTAGAACTACAGCTTCATGCAGAAAACGCACAGATCCGTTATTGGGATCATCTGTGGGATTATCATGAGAAACCTTGAAAAATGGGCGATTTAACTCGGGCGGATCGCGATACTTCGTCTCTGACTAGTTTAGGGATGAGATTTTAGGATAAGAATTAAAGAGTATCGGGCAAACAACCGCGCGAGTTTTTAGTGATGAGACGGAACATCTTCGGAGCGCTGCCTCACTTGGGCTTCCGCGGATCAGAGGAGAAACGCAGGAGCGCTCCTCCCATCGATCGTAGGGAGGGGGGGGGGGAGTTATTTGAGATCTTTCTGATCGCGCTGACGTTCTTCAATAACATCATGAAATTCCAATGGTACCTGCTACATCGAATGCTGATGCCGCCACGCTGGAGTCGGACGAATGGGAGACTCCGCCCGTATCCCCTTAACTCTTCGGTAACGAGTCACGGTGAACACTGTCTCGAGTCAAGGGATGCGGAGTTTTAACGCGGGGGAGGGTCGACAACGGACGAGATGCATTTAGTCAACTGATAAGATTTGAGATCAATTTTTATTGTAACTATTTTGCCTATGTTGTTGTGGCTTCCAGTATATACAGCATCTATGTACAGGTTTGTGCAGGAGGTTTCAAACCCTGAGTCGGAGTGCTCAGGCCTCCATCGAGGAATCATCTGAGATCTATGGAATTAACTACTGTACGACGTTCACCAGCACTTGATTCGATTGTATACCAATGATCATCACGTACACGAATGTTGTAGAACGCTTACAAGAGCGGGTCGCGCCCGTGCTCAAACATCAAACTAGCCGACTCGACCCTGAGGTGGTTGAGCACTCAACCCGAATCACTCTGCTCTCCAAGGAGCGTCTCCGTCACTGTCCATCTTCTTCCTGATACCCTCAGGATGCGTGTATTCTCTAAGTTTCCATTATAAGGCGTGAAACAGCGGATCAGGAGAGATTCCAACGCAATTTGAGAGTCGAGAATGTCAGCAGCGCTTGGCGAGTAAGTTATGCGTCACTATCTGTTCTTGGAAGACTATGCTTTCTGTGAGTTTTGGGAGTCGAGCATGGGCTGCAGGATCCGACGACGAGCGTTTATGAACCAATTGTTTACCTGGGGAGGAGAGGTACGAGAAGTTAATCATGAGGCTCGTATCATGTCCAATATATGTAATTGGAAAGTAAAAGTAGGTAATGTGAAGAAAAATAAAGATCATTTAAAATAGAGGACGCCCCCTTCTTCGCTGATGATAGATGAGGCCCCGGAGCAACTTCATAACTGAGGTGCTAGTTCCAATCGAAGCGTGTGCTTCGATGTAACCGCCGTTCTTATGTCGCCGATATTTCGAGGAGCTGGGTGGGCATACGAGCTGGAGGAGCTCTCTCAATGCCCCCAGCTCGTTCGGGTTGATTTAAGATCATCGAGTTCATCAGCACGAAGTATTTCGTGGCAACGTCGTTCGACCTCCGGTCGTTCCCACACCTCTCCGCTACGGACCGCTCTATCCGAGCTCACTTACTTGTAATAACGATAGATTTGTTTGTTGAGCTATGATTTTTTTCTCCTCCTCACTGGGATAGGGATGTACAATGTGAGCGAAAAGCCATGCTCTCATTAATTCCGTGGCTTGCTTGGGTAAAACCCCCCTCGTCGAACTTGAGCTCTGATTCGGATTCGGAGTGCTCCGACTGACCGACATGGATCGAGTGACTTTCTTGGGAGGTGGTCCTACCGTCGCGGCTTTCGCCTCTTGGGAATTCTCTGCCGATCAGCGAGAATAGTGAGCCCTGGAGAAATGTGGAGATATGTCCACAAACTCTAGATCCGCGATGGGATCTCAAACGGAACCGTTCTCGACTAACCAGTTTCGCCTGCGCTTCCATTGCTGAGTTGATCGTCGTCGGAGTCATCGACGTCGAAATGAGCGTCCTTCAGAAGATTTGAAGAATGCATTTTGTCACGAAGGCATCTTATGTATCGCTGGCAGAAGTTGTTGCAGAGCTCATTGACCTTTTGCAGCTCTCCAAGGTGGATCCTCAAAACCTGAGGAGAAACCGCGTTTGAGATCCTTGTCCGGATATACTTAGGATCGCGCGAGACCCTTACAGAGCAGATTCGAAACAGCAAAGTACTTGCCTGAAGAGACTCCAGCATGAGCTGGTCGATGCTTCCTTCTCCCGCACTCCATTCCTTTGTAGACTGGGCGAATTCCATGAACTCTCGCTCCAATTTCTCATTATCGGGTTCAGCTCCACAAGTCATCGTAGCTAACTCACATTTTTCGAATAGGAGCGCCAGGAGAGGAAATAAAGGATGCTTCAGGAGCGCTTTCTTTATGAATTCGGTTTCTTCCAAGCTGATGTTGAGCTCCTGGTCCGAGTTTTCTACGTCGACATCAACGTCTACTTCGAGTTCCTGATCGGAGGAGGACTCTGACATGGTCATCCTCTGAAAATCAGAACATTATGAGCGCTCCAGGCTTGGTCATAGGCGGAAATCAAAAACAAGAAATTGTAATTTTCCGAACGGTTCTCTGAAATCGTCGACAAGCCCCGGAAATGGGAAGACTTTCACCAAGAGTATCCGAGCTGTGCTCTGTTACGAGCTGCTCAGTAGACTGATAGCATGAGCTCATCACGTTCGTGGAGAATCATTCTCAAGTGTAGCGCATTTCTGTCTCTTTCGGGAATCACGTGCGGTCCCAGAAGAAACGAACAACACTCGGAATCGCGCAGTTTCAGCCGGGAGAGGAACATCGCAAGCTTCGCGCTATCACAAGAGATTCGGCTAGATCGGTCGACGACTCTCAAGGGAACAGAGCTGGAGGATCATTGAGCCTCATCGATGTAAATGTGTTATCTTAGCGCCTTCATCGGTGACCAATGTACTGTATCGATGTATAGTTCGAACCCTTCGATCCACTAGATTCCCGAGAGGGTCGAGAGAATTCTGAGGCTGATCTTTGGAGGGGTTGCTCTCATAAGCGTGGGCCGAGAATGCTCGGTTCTCGAATATTCATAATGCAGGGGTGCAAAACGCGTGCTGGTAGCCCCGCGGAAATCCCTCTATTTTTCTTGTCATATTTTTATGGTGATGTTCGGCCTCGAGGCCCCGCGGCTCAACAAGCTGTCTCCTCAGATCTATCTATTCTGGCTACTTGTGACCGCATATATTTATCGTTTCAATCTAGAGTATTGAACACTCACCCGAATCGACAGTGGCTCATCAAACCCGACACTCCATCAATCAAAGCTTCTCGGAGAGGGGGGGAGAGCACCACTCGACGATCAGCATAGAAGGTCGCATAGAAGCTCTAACTCGGAGCTCCACAGAGGCTCCTTGAAGTCGATCGACGCGATATGAACGCGCTCCCCCATTCGGGTTTCCGAGTCGACTATCTAGTTGTAAGAGAACCCCCCGGGAAAACTCTCGTAACTCCATCTTTTGGATGATGAGCTCATCGATTCTCGCCCCGATTCTCGTCCATGCTCGAGAACGGTCGCTCCATTTCCGAGCTTGAAGGATACGCGATTCGGCAATGTATTCATCAGAAAACTATCGAGAGAAGATAAGGTCATACGCCACCGTGAAAATAGACGCACAATCGCTCCATTCACTCTAGACCGATCACCGAAGACATTTTCCTGATGGAAATTCCGTTTTCGAGAGTGACCGCCAGCACCGTGACCACTAGCGTACCGAGGACGCCGCATAATTCTTGTTTCCGGCTATGATCATAATGAGGGAGAGCTTCATCTGTGTAAAATCCTAGCACCACTCGGCTGCGATTACGAAAATCTTTATTTCAGTTTTTTATTGGAGTGCTCGCCAGCCGCCGCGGCCCGAGCTGCTTATTTTTCGAGAAGTCTCTGTGGTCTTGACTCAAGACTGGGTTTCTCCATTGATGGTTTTCCTTGAAGATCAAGGTACTGCAGGCTACGTTCAGGGGAAGGAATGGCGTTATATGATTCGGCAGCGAGAATTATTCGGTCGCCAAAGACATATCGCCGCCAGAGTATCGTATAGACGGGATAAGATGTGTCGCTGCCTCCAATGCGCAAAGTCGCGCTTCAAGTGGCCCTGGCAGAAACCGCGGCTCCTCGAACCGCGATAATCCTTGTTCCAGGCTCAATATGAGACGTCTACCGCGAAACACACACAGCCGCATGCAACCCAAGTCGAAGACCGCTTTTTTTCGGGGAAATCTGCGGAATTCTTGCTCAGCCGAGCCTCAGTGATGTTTCGATGACCGCGAGTGATGTCCTGCTGATTGGGGACCTTCAAGATCGTTTCAACATAAAAATGAGGGAGCCTCGTCGGTGAGCCGAGACCAGTGCTGTGCGCCGTACCCAGGACGCGGCGCCATAGACTCGATTTTGAAGCGCCGTTGTGCGCCATGGCGCTTAAGCATTGATTGGTCTATGGGACTTGCAATGCTCGGCGCCTCGCGGCGCACAGCTCTGGCTGAGACGGAGGAATCGCCAAGCTAGCCTGGACGAGTAGGCACCCGCCAATCCGGTCAATCGTCTTACCTATTTCTGATGGCAATATCGCGAGCAGCTGCTCGCTCCACCGGAAACTTGCGATAAAGGAATTTCCGACAGTCGTTCGCATTGATGATTTCAGGTTGAACATGGATTTTATTTGAACAATGAGTCACTTTCTACACGAACAGATGATTTGTGAAATATAATCACGGGAACAGTTGAACGTTGTTGCATCAACCATGTGAATGTTTCTGAGAAACAGGCGAGAACTTCACAGAATAAGGCCGGGCATGCGATCCACGTGAGCTATTCTGGATAAATACTGTCCGAGATGGTCCGATGAGAATAATGCGCTGAAATTGCTTGTGTACATGTTCAGAAATGGTCGACTTTCACGAGAATGTGGTTGTCTTTGATTTGAGACGAAGCGACGCCTTTCATGTTGTCGAGAGAGACGTTCTGCCATTCGGATGGAACTCCTCCCGCAGTGTCGGTCGATTTGAGGGCGAACGACCAATGATCAGGGTTCAGAGCGGCACAATGAGGTAAACGTAGTTCGATCGCTTTGAGAAACTTCAAACCGTGAGGGCCACACATCACCAGAGGACTCAGCAAGGTCTCTCCTGGAAGAGAAGATACATTCCGTCAGCATCATCGTCATTCAAATTAATTTTTGACGTCATATCAACCTTAGGACATTTGGGCTTATGAGCTTGCGTTAGAAAGCATGTTGACAACTTACCGCGACCGCGGTCCAATGGTGGCAGCATGGAGTCATCTTGACAAACTTTGAAATAGACTTCCTGTTGAACGCCTTCGGGTATCGCCCCTTCCGGGATGACGAGGGAGACACCGGTTCGTTCAGAATAGAGTCGTCCTCCTTGAGAATTGAACACACCTTGCACGTAAGCGACCACGTTCCCATTCAGAGGAGTTGGATCGTCAGGTCGTTCGCGAGGATGGTCTCCGAGGCTGAACAGATAACATGCAGATGTTAGGAGCAGCCCCCACCGAAACCCATTAGGCCATAAGCAACTTCCGTATGCAGCATATCTCAGTTAGATACCAATCGGAACTAATCGAACGATGATGATGCCAGCAGACTCTCCCGAAATTTGACCTTCCCGGTATTCGTTGGTTAAGTCAGGCGTCGGTGCAGGGGAGGTTAAGAATATTGAGCTGGTCTCTGAACTGATCTCTGAACGGCAACCGCCAAGATGTTCACGCATTGAAGTTCTGGGATTTGTGGGGAGCTTCAGACGTTTCGATTGTTAGTCTGTGAGTAAGCTTTCCACCGGTCCAGGTGGATTCTGAGCGGCGCATATTCCACTGTGCTCTGGTGCAAGAAATCCAGGCCGAACGTCGATGAGGAAACAATTTATTTGGCAAAACCGATCAAGCTGCGGCGGCATTCTCACGTATTTTTCCTTCCTTCCTCTCGCTCCCGATTTCTCTACTTCTCTCGTTCGCTTCCCGCGTCAAAACCGATATCGATTGTCTGGCACTTGAGAATGTGAATATTGGGCAAAGGGATAGCGAGTGGACTCTACAGAGCGGGAACACGGATAATCGCAACGATCGCCGTTTTGCGCTACAGCGCAGATGCGGCGGATGCGGAGCGCTGCTGATGGCTTCGCAACGGTCCTCGGTGACGCGACAATTCTAGCATTAAATTCTCTCGGTGGTACGCCTCCGTTCGGACACAACTTACTTGGCGTATTCATCGTCGACATCGGTTAGGATGCTCCGCTTATAAGCAGGACTGTGTCCTGAAGGAGGGCCGACAAGGTCTGGTTTCTTGTAAAGTTCGAACGCGCTTCCCCGAGTCGCTTCTGGGTAGCTCATTGGCGGTGGCAGAGGGGGAGGAGCTCCCGGTCCACTGGAAGGATATTTTCCGCAATCAGTGATCGTTCGTTTCGAATCGTGAATAGCCCTGAACTCAATCAATAGTAGGATTCGAAGCGAAATACGATTAGGAGACGAAATATCGCGTCGATCGGGTTGAGGATACGAACCGGTATGAGCTGTAAGGAAGGTTGAGATAGGGTCCGTTGTTGACCTGGTAACCGGGTTGCTTGTCATTATAATCCTGGTTGTTGTTGTTCATCTCGATTTTGTTGCCGTTCAAATTGCTGTTCATATTGTTACTGCCCCCGCTGCTCATGTTATTGTGATTGTTGGCGTTATTATTATTATTATTGTTGTTGTTGTGGTTGAGATTGGCTGGGCTCATGTTATTCGATGGGGCGAAGAGATTTGTGCGTTTGCCCCCACTTCGACTTATGTAGTTCTGACTGTCGAGCATCGGTGAAGGCCGTGTCGGCGGCGTGCTTCCCGGAGACATTCCATAAATAGGATAATTTCCGTTGTTGTCTGCAAGAAATTGAGCATGTTCGAGAGTAGACTTCTCCAGACGGTTTCCATCGAGCATGGAATTGTGGGCTCGAGCGCTCATCGTTTGAGAAATCTCTGATCCACTCACTCTGTTTGATTGCGTTCACCGCGGAATAGGGTGGCGGAGCATTCTTGATCATGAGATCTCGATCGGCGGGCGTTCGTCGGTCCATGGAGTTATTCAACGCGCCCATAGGGCTTCCGATGGGTCGTCCCATCGCTTCGTAAACTCGCTGAGTTTGATTCGAGGCGCGACCCGGCGGAGGGGGCAGTGGTCCTCCGATCAATGGCTTCGAGGGGGTCCTCGGCGGAGGGGGAGGGATCGGCTTTTTCGGCATTCGGCTCATCATCATTCGGGTGCCGTAGGGACTCTCATTGACCACATGCGGACTCTGGTTGCTCATTGGGAGATTAGCCTCGATCAGTGAGCTTTGTCTCGAATGCATTTGCAGCTGCTGAACCACCTGTTGCGTGTTGATGTAATCTGAGTCCAAACCCTGCATTTGGGGCGATTCGGCGTTCGGGAATTTATTCGGGTTCGCACTCTGAGGCGTCAGACGCATCTGATAGCCACCCACGCTCGGTGTCGACTGGAAGGATAATTGTGATTATTTAGATATTTGGGGTCAGCGAAGTATTGTCGACATCAACCCGGAGGTTGCCTTGGATAGTATCGCAAGTCGAGGCGGGTTATGGATAGAATTCGACGAATGGGATATTCGAAGATGAGCAGACGCACCATGTTGTTGAAACGTTGCGGCTTGTTGCTCCTGTCAACCTTAGGGGCGGGCGTGACAGAGTGGTTCGGCGTCGTCTCTCCGATCTGAGGTGTTTGACGGAGAACAGCTTCCTTAGTCGAGTAGATTTCTTGCAGTTTCTGCTCGTGGAGTCTTCGCTGCAGCTGCGCCATTTCTGTCGTGACCGTTCCGTACACGTCTTGGTTATTAGGGTCGATCGGTGTTGCCCTGTTGGATCCCCTGTAGCCGTTGATGGCGGAAGCCCCGTCCCTCCTGGGCGTGTTGTCGTAAATTGAGTTCTGTTCACTCATTTGGCTGACCATGAGATTTTTCTTCGCCACCAGAGGAGGGCTAGCGTAAGTTTCATCGGGGAGACTGTAAAATTCAAATCACTCATTCAAATCACCCCGCATCGATTCCTCCGACCGGGGAGATCAGAGAGATACGTGCTCGATAGAAAATCGCTCGACGAGAACTTCAGTCGAGACCACGTGGAATCGATTCCTACTTGTTCGGCGCCATCCCGTTGGGAGTCGAATGCATGTGCATGCTGAGGTGTGCCGGCGACTTTCCGGATTGCATGGCGAGGTTTCCGAAATGATCTTCTTGTGGACCTTGCTCCGTCGTTACGCTCTGTATTTCGTTATTCAGAACGAGCGATGGATCACTGGACGATTTCACGAGACGTCCTGGAAAGAATCCAATCGTCCGAGTCAGTCAACCACTCCGGTGGCGTTGGAGAACGAGCCTATTCTGCTCTTAGAGGAATTCGAGAGGAGCGTTCACACGGGAAGCGGAAATGGGGGTGCCCCTCTCGATTCAGCTCCGTCAAGGATCACATGTGCGCGATATGGCGTTCCGGAAAACATGGACCATATGGGACGGTATAGACGTAGTGGCGATCGGAAAATATTTCTGTACCGCGGATACTCCAAATCCTTACCTGTTGTGTAGGACTCCTCAGGGAGATTATCGTTGACGAGCTCCACATCGCTCTCAGGAGAAGATGCATAGCTGAGTCGATTCGACTGCGACGGGAACAGGAAATCGTCCGTGATCAGCGAGTCGGGTTTCCCTTCGGCGATCCAGATCGCCTGCAACTGCTGTCGGTCGATGGTTTCGACGAGTTTCCTATACCACGAGTCGACGCTGCCCGCCGTCACGGGAATCGTACAACAGAACGCGTGTGAATACGACTTCTCGATACGCGACGCATGCTCCAGAAGTTTTCGGGAGCTCTTCGTCCGGCTAGTGAGAACCGGCGCGAAATGACCGCGAACCTCCTTAACGACATGCTTGTTTTCCGCGCGGAGGAAAATCACAATCGGATAGAATTGTGCGTAGTTCAGACGATCCACGGCGGAAGGCGTCACGTCCAACACGGCGTGCTTGCCCTCTTTGCTGATGTCTTTAATGGCACTTAGACGGATGACTCCTGAACTCGCCCCCGGTAGATCCTCGACGTTCGCCGCGAGACGAGGCGACGCGTAGATGTCGCGGTAGTCGTGTAGGAGTTTGTTACGGGCGACGTCGGCTATAGCGCCGAATATCACCACAGGTCGCACGAATCCCGGGTGTTTCAAAGTGACCCGTTGGTAAGCGACCAGTCGACACTGGTCGGAGTATATCGGTTCGGCGCTATAATCCTGCAGAGGGAGAAAGTAAATCCGCTTTGAGACAAGGGTTTCGAGTCTCCTGGCCGCACAATACGCGACGCTTTCGGTCGTCGGGGGCCTCCGAGCACAGCTACCGCGAAATCGACAGGGAAAAAAGGTCCCTCAGCGGGGGTCCTAATCGGTTCCCGGTGACCAATCCGAGAGAGATAGGAGACCAGATGGAACATGATTCGGATAACGAGAAATAGCGTTCCACCATCCGCTCGTGACGATGAACTCGAGTAAAAAATGAATGGTTGAGATCGATACCAGCGCAGATCGAGCGTTCGACACGGAATATCTCGGGTCCTCCATGACCGATCCGAAGACCGTCCGGCTGGCCGCATGGAGCTCATTGTACTTCTGCTTGACGACGTTCGACGACGTCAAGTATTGTGTTTCTTTTGTTCTAGGATGAGTGGGACTTCGAGCCTCCACGACGAGAAAAGATGCTTTGTTGACAAGCGATTTGCTCAATGTAAATAGAGCAACAAATTACGACAGAAGCGAAAGGCCTTAATATGCGGTCGTCTCTGTTATCGTTGAGGAATTAATAAGTCGCGTTTCATATCGTGAGCAGCCGAGCGGACCTCGATGCCCTTGTGCGGCGAACACGAGAAATTCTGTGAACTCGTCTAAAGCACTCCTGGTGCACCGAACAGACTCAGAGAGAATACTGCGAAATTTTAATGAAAAGACAAGCGCGATCATTCAGACGGCGTATTCCGAAATTTTACTGACCTTTATCAGACTTTTGGACCTTCGCTGACCACGTCGTTTGAAGAAACTCCCTCGACTGTCCATGTCTTTGTCTTTTTTGAGCTGCGCCATCTGCTCGTGAGCGTGTTCGTCCGCGCGGCTCGCATTGGGAATTACTCCCTTCTGAATTTCCTGATTGTTCCGACCCAGCCGATAGACGAGCCACTGTCCGACTGAACCGTTGTGCAGCGTGTCCACGACGTGGAAAATTTCCCCACTCTTGAACGACAGCGCATCCTTCACACTCTGGCCCGGGGGCGGCTCGTGCACGAACTGAGTTTTTACGTAGAACGAGTCGCCATGCAGGTGATTGGCGACAATGTCGTCGTATTCTGTATGTATGGGTTTTCCGGTAAGTTCCCAGAGAAGCGATGCGAAAATGAAAAATAACACGGAAAAGCCGAAAATTCACGAAAGTCACACAAACCTTCCTTGCAGTGTTGAACTTCGAGACAAATATGTTCTTGCACCCGTAGGAGGAACATGACAGCGTCTTCGCGTGTGACTCCGTTCATGTCGACTTGATTGACTTTGAGGAGTTTGTCGCCCGGTTGAAGACCCTGCAGCGAAGCCGCGATCCCGGGCTGCACGGCAGATACGAATATTCCGACTTTGTTACCACCGGTGAGTCGGATGCCAAGCGACCCTTCAGGTGGTTTTTCGAAAGAAATTGTTCGCACCGGAGCATCACTGGGTTTCGTTGCCCTGTATAAACGACGGAGACGATAAGGAGGAACAACCAAGAGTCACTATCTGCTCCGCATGCGTCAACGACTCTCTTTCACTCTGGACGCTCCTTCGGAACTTCGGCGCGATCGCCGCAGAGGAATACGTTTCCCAGCCCCTGGAGCGGACCGGGAAATTGGGGACGCGAGACGGCGGAGTCTCCGAATTCGAAAAGATCATATCGTTCTGAATTACTCTCGATGACGAAATGTTTATGATTTACAGAGATTCGAGGACACTCACAATTGTACAGGAGGGGTCCGTCTCGAGAGTTCCTCCACTCCCTCACTGATTGCCAACGCTCGAGCAGCTGAAGAAATTGATCATGATGTCAAAACTGTGTTACCCGTCGCTCAATGGAGCAGCAGCAGCACCGGCAGTTAACCCCATTTTATACGACATCGGCTAAATGCGGCTTTACCTTTCGGAATTTTAGTGGGAGTACTCGTACCGTTGAAACACAAATTGTTCATCGGAGAGCCCAACCCCGACGGCGGTCCGTTGCCCGACGAGTATAACGACTCTGGCACGAGATTGGGTGCTCGATTCTCGATTCCGTTCGTAACGGCCGAAGCGTCACGCTTCACCACGAGGTTGATCGAATTTTTCACACTGTCCAGCAGCTTACGCGCATCCTTCAGCGAGAGGTTGTCCGTTGCTTGGTCATTTATCTGCCAGAGGAAGTGAAAATCGTGAGCGACGGGCTCATCCTTCGCTTCGGAAAACCGAAATTCCGTCGCGAAGACTCCAGAGGAACGAGGCTTTTCGGAAGTGCTGCTCCTCACCGCCAGCCGCGGAAGGGCTCTAATGATTCGATTATTCGATAGAAACAATGTCCTGCTAGGCATCAGCGAGGCTCCTCGTGACCGGTTCGGAATCTTTGTTGGAATAGCCATCGGCTACGGAAACGAACCTTCAAAACAATATCGCCGATTTTCAACGTGTTGTCCTGGTGTGCTATCGATCGCGGCGTTATCTCCTTAATGTACACTTGGCATCCCAAAACGATTCCGAAGTCTTCTTTCTTCTTGCTGCGTTGCAACTGGACCGACAGCATATTCTGAGCGCCGGACACACAATCCGGATTCAATCTTCTCTTTATGAGAAGGTTGACCATTGCCTCACTTTCTCGCAACACGTTCACCGCGCGGGAGTAATCGACGTTCTCGAACGAGACACCGTTCGCACTGAGAACAATGTCTCCGATTCTGGAAGGGACACAGAGTTTTGAGAATACTGCACTTGACATCGAGAACAAAATGGAGAAAAACGCTCAATTTGCTCGAAAATGTCGGGCAAGCGACCTTTCCCGGGAACCAGACGATCATTAGTACCCCGATTCGAATATCGGTTCGCGGCGCCTCAGAGAACTCCAGCGCGCGCGTGATCGCCCGCCGATACCGTTCGGCACGTTCAAAATCCATCGATTATCCTAATCTGACCGAGCGGATAGTAAAAGACGAAACCAGCGAGAAACATCGCCGGTGAAGGAATCTAGACTACAAGAGACTATCTGGATGTCATGTTTGAGCTGTCGATGGACTATCCGCATAGACGTTGTCCCATCCCGGTCGCACCGCCGAGCGAACTTCTCTGCGGAGCTGAGGAAGTTTCATCATCGCCTGTGTGAATCGTGGAACGTCCATTTCCCTCATAGTTGTTATCGGACGGGAGTCACTCGGCTAGTTCCTAGATCGGGATGCTTCACGACTTGACCGGCTCGCGGAAGATCCGCTGCTTGTGGAGCTTCATCGACAGTTCCCAGGTGATTGCTGCATCGGAGATCATATAGGGAATCGGGTCCACCAGGTTCCGAAATACTCACAGCAATTTTCCCTCGGCAGGACCATTCTTGAGGACATCCGATATCACGATATACCCCTCCTGATTGTCAGCGAGTGAGCTGTCGCGTCCCCCGCTAACAGCGATACCGAACCCGTAATTCGGGACCTGGAAAGAGCGGATTTTCAGTTGGATTTTAAGAAGACGACCTGGAAGTACAGAGAAAAACGCAGCTCATGCGCGTGAGCGGAAAACCTTCCACGTACAAATATAGTCGCCAACCCTCCGAGGTTCATCTCGATCATGGGCATGCTACGCCCCCACCAAATTGAGTAATCACTCTCGTTGCCTCCCGTCGACGGCAACGAGAGGGAGGACCGACTCCGTCAACAAACCGGGGGAATCCTTGCGGGAATCCAAGCGTCAATAAATAACTTGTTTAAACGGATATTGAGAAAACGAGATTTTCTCCCTGATCCGAACTTTCCGTCGTTCGACACTTTCAATCGACGAAGACCATCTTCGCGACTAAACCTTCGCCGCGGTGGCACTGGCTATCTCGCCAGGAATTCGCCGATCTCACATCGAGGTGGTAGAATAATAATTTAGAGCTGCATTTAATTTTCGAAATGTGCCTCAGACACTTGACTCGTGCAGAATAAATCCCGTGCGATGACGTCTTTCGCGAAAAGATTTGTTCATAACCTAATCGTTGCGAGCCATCGTTCCAAGCGAACGGCCGAGGGGCAATCGACTCGCATATCGCAGCGTACTCCGCCCTGAGTGAGTTTTTCAATGGTGGGATTTCGTGTCGAATCCTCAATTCTCCCGGAGAGACTCTCCAGCCGGAGCCCGGGCTCCGCGAACTCGAGGGTTCCGGATGACTTGAGCCGCGAGATGGGGCCGGACACGGCCGATGTGATCGTATGCCTTCCGGCCCAGAGACACAATGACCGCACTATATGAAGCGCTAGAAAGCGGATTCCAACCCTGGCGCCTCCGGAGCTGCTGTGATCGATGGACAATGACGTCGATATCCGAGGCTACACATCGCGTCGGTCGATTCTGAAGATTTCGAACACCTTCAGCTGTCAGATTGCCTCCCCTTCGGGAACTTGTCGGCACATGTGAAGGAGCAGCATTCTATGTGCCCAGATGCACAGGGTAGGTCCACGAGAGTCTATGCTCAGTAGGAGAGTACTCACCTTCGCCAGAGGAATATTCAGTAGCTCGTAGCAGGAGTGCAGGTCGTTCATGTTGGAGTCCTGAGGAAAGACGAAAGGAGCTTAGATGATGTCTGTGGAGTTGTTAATCTCCCGCTGGAACAGAGACCCCAGGAAAGTGAAGGATGAAAAACAAAACTAATTGAGGTTCCCGGGGAGGAATCCGAAGAAATCAATAACTCCATGGGATACGCTCAATGAGTATTTTCGTATGAACGGATTTAGCGAAGGGTCCGCGCTCTGCAGGAGAAAACAGAGATGCTCGAAGAGGTCCCAGGCCTCGACGACAGCTCATAGGAGCCGATTTGATCCACCTGCGGAAGCCCAAGCGGCTGCTCGGGGAAATTTTGATCTATTATCAGTTTTTACTAATGCATGTTATATGTATTAGTATCTGGTATCTGGAAAATAATATTCGTGTCCATGGGGATTGCCATAAACGACAAATCGTCCCTACTCGCGTCCATTCAGCAAGACGATTGCAGCCGAGCAATGAGATCTCAATTCTCCTTGTGGCGAACCCATGGAGATTTACTTCATTTTGCTGAGCGAGTAGCTCTTCGACGATGCGGAGTTGAGCTTCTGCTTTAGGCGAACGGAGGAGGCGCCCGTCACTGAGGATTCTTACGGATTGAGTCACCGAGCGACGGCGAACACCCAAGTGAACCGTTCTCGACCTTGACTCTTCCATTGAACCTCACAGAGCCTCGCCCGGTCATCAGAAACTTCACGTTTTTTCTCGGGCTCTTTCCTTTTGGTTTTCTTGGATTCCTGCATTTCAGTGAATGTTTCCCCGGCAGAACGTCGAAAATCGTCCGCTCGCTGCGATCCCGTGGACTATCGACTATTTTGCGCATAATCTTTTTTTCATATGTCACCGCCACCCCGTTTCCTGCCTCGCTGCCTTCTCCTAAATCGGGGTGGAATAATTGGCAGCCCCACACACGAGGATTCGAGAAAATTGTGAAGAAATTCATGGTACGGGCTTGGGGCGAACTGTATACGAGCATCGCGATCGGAAATTTTCTGCCCGCCGTCATTTCAATCACTCAAATTGAAGCGGGGTCAGGTGGCCTTCGATCCGAATTTTCCAAACTAACCACATCAAGCAAGTCAAGGGTGAATTCGGGGCGGTTCGATTCAATTGCCCCACCTCGTGCGCCTTGCAAACAACATGGATAGACCAACTGAAAAGAGTCCATCTTCGATTACTTCTATCGCAGCAGCGGCTAGCATTCGGAATATTCCGTGACCCGCGAGCGGAGAACCACTGATAGTTAATCAAGCGGTTCTGCGAATTGCGCCAACCGACACCACTTCCGAGCCCACTCGATCGTCGGTTGTCGCTTGTTACCGCTTAGAATCGGCCTGTAACCAGTTCTTCGGCCTCACGGTCTAGCTGGCCGGTGAAAGTTTTTCCCGCAAGGAAGAAATTCGCACGTGGCATCAGAAATGCAGAAAGAGGTCTCGGTGGGGTGCCCTTCCGGGAAAAATTTAATATCTCATTGTTCATGCGCTCGCTTCATTCCAAAATGTTGTTTCAAGCCTGGCCGACATCGGTTGAAGTACGTGGGCTCACTTCGCGTTGCCGAGTGGGCTCGGCGCCCTCGATTTCCAAGTGATGAGTGAGTGAGGCATCGAGAACCCATAGATATCGAGATGACGACGAATCTCAATTTTGGTAGGTGGACGAGCCTACTGGGAGAATTTCGTGAGTTCCCCCATCAACATAATCATTCAGTATTGGAACTCCAGGCTGTTCGATAGTATGAACCTCCCTGCATGATTCAATGATTCAGGAAGCAACGGTCGGCGACGGCAGAACGTGGGAAGCGCGCATCTGACAACGTCTTCTCCATGCGGAAGGGCATTGTTGTCTTCAGAAGCTCACAAGGCGAAACTACCTGCGAGCGAAACATTCTACTATCAGCATCTGCCCCAAAGCCATCCAAATCTGGGACTGCTCCGTGAGTCGAGCGAGCAAGAATAATTTTCTAACCGGAGAGTGAGGAGGAGAACCACCAGAAGCCCAAGAAGTCGGTTGCGTGTAAACAAAGAGAAATTAACTTAGAGAGCCCGTTCGCTCGGAGCACGGAGCGAAGAACCACCCATCTGCCACCGCTGCTGCGACCGCTGGCATCAAGCTCGCCGTCCAACAGTGCCGGTAGACATACTTGGGCGCATTCGGCTTCTGTCGGCTTACGTTTTACCGAGAAGGGGTCAAGATCGGCTTTGATGACTTCTCCGAACATCTAACGCTTCGGGAAACCTTAAAGACACAATGGAAAAGTTCTCTCTCTTCCAGAACGATTCTGATGATTCGGAGGTGGATGCAAACATCTCTGAATGAGTCACTGTCGTGCCGAATTCGGTGGACATCTTCCGGCAGATCATCATATGATTTTCTAGAGACTCATCAATCTTTGTAACAGATGCAAAATCGATCGGAGCTCGAATCTACTAGCCGCAGAGGAAGAGCCCCAATTGGACACCGTGAGTCGCCGACGAATTCGTCCCGTTCCCCGCGCATTCGTCTCCTCACGGGCTTGGAGCCGTGTCGGGAATAGAAAATCTGGACCTCTTATCCGAGCTCGTCGGTTAGCGATATCCGGATCATCATCTACGCAAGTCCGTAATGAGATGAGATACCGGAAACATTTCTCTGTCTCGGGAATCTGCGCAGCTGACTGCTTGGAGCATCTCCCGAGCAGCTTCAGTATCACGGATTCTGACGAGACAAGCATCAGACATGAGTAAACGGGTCGTATCGAGTCGTCGGGATATTCCAATATAATCAAGACGGCGATTATGATGTTCCAAGAAGCGTGACTTTCGATTATTTCAAACAAGTCTTTGAAAAAACCCACACGCTCGCACAAGGGGACGAGATTTGCATCTTTCCGACATTCTGCGAAGACCCGCCGCCCGTCTTCCGGAAACCGATACGGATGCCATCGTTTCCCGCCGCACATAGCGACGACCACGGCGTACTACTACCGTTTTCTGTCTCCCACAGTATTTAGTCCACGCGGTCCTTGTAGAAGTCCAGTTCCACAAGTGCTTTTCGGATCCCGCGCGCCGGACCTCCTCCATCACAGTGGAACTCGCATAACGGAAGGAATTCGGTCCGCTGGAGAACCCATGCATACCAGACCATCGATCACATAAGGACCTGAAGTTCGCCATCATCGAAAAACTAAGCTCCCGTACACATCTCCGAAGCACCCCTAGCAGAGCTCTTACTGGAATTTCCAGCGGCAGCGGTCGCTGAGCTTGGAGCAACACTTTTCGACGGTCGGAAAGTCCGTTATCGGCTGACTGGCACCTCAAGGAAGATTTTGACAAGTTGAACCATCCGGGTTCGGCTCGGATGACCCGGTCCCGCCGATTGCGTAGTATTCTCTCGCCACCATCGAGTTCTCGTTGCGCGCTCAAATAATAACAGCGTATGCCAATAAACACGAGCATGAGTGTGCAATTTAGACGTCAGTCTAATTACATACGAGTGTTTGTATGTATTATGTGGAAATTGTGAGGAGACTGGCAATACAAACCGACCACAAAACGAAGCCAGATCGACAGATTTATGCTCCGCGAGATTGTGAGATGCCCGGTTCTATGGACACAGCGCCTAATAACTACAATTTAGAGCGGCGAATCATGTGCCTGGTTGAGGATAGGGACAGTGATGCCCGCCGACTCCGTAAAAGAAGCCTCGGATCTCGATCAGCGGCCCAATGATCGTCATTAGTAAATGTATGTATTGTGAAAATTCTCTTCATCGTAGGGAATATGAAGCCAGGCACGCTTGAGCCCTTCACGATTAGCGAATGCGACCGTCTGCTGGACCACTGGCCAGCGTTCAGTCGATCGGTGACGCATTTTACAGGCGTACACATAGAAGCCTGACGCATCTTCGGCTGCTGGTGCCGTCGCCGTTTCTTCTTGTTGTTCTATCTTGAGCATATTGAGGCCCGGTAGGTATCTAAGGTCGACGGTTGCGGCGGTGGCGGCGGCGGCTGCAGCAGCAGCGACGAAGACGACGACGACCTACCGCCCTGTCCATTCGTTCGTTCGTTCAGAGCTCGGTTCCGATGAGAACCCCCATGGCCGCAAAACCTTGAGAGAGACAAAGCTCGGCAGAACCGAGTAGTCGAAACACATTCCATTTCGGAGTAGGTGAAATGAAAGGTCTATCCACACATCCGCAAAGGTCTCGAAAAATAGAGCATGGGACCAGCGATGTGCTGGTTTCTTGTCCCATGAGCAAGTCTGGATTTTATCGGACACCGACGAAGATCCGCCTCACGGCTGAAGAGTTTTTTTCTGACACTGCGACCGATATCACCGCGGCTAATGATTCGCCAGAGCAGAAACGATGAAGCAACAACAAAATTCGATGACTTCGGATTTGTAAGAATGGAGCGCAAAACGCAAGATTTCCCACCAGGAAACGGAGCTGCGTACTCGGCATAATTCTACTTTTGCGAATCAGTGGAACCGTATTGTTAAGTTCTAACAGTTCCGATATTCGCTGGAAGCAGTGAGGAATAAGAGAGAGGGAAAGACCGAGCGAGCTTCCTTCGAAATGGGGTTAAAACGGCCGAGGAAAAAGACCGTTGGAGAAGAAAAATCACCGCCGGCGAAGCCCAGTACGGAAGGATGTCGACGACAACACGGCGACGACGCCGACGAACTTTTGTTTTTCGCTCACAATACGAGTATGTTTGGCCAGAGACAGGAGAAGCACAAGTTCTCAAGCACATTCAATCGACGGAGGTCTCGACGACGGCGACCGGGATTTCATATGAGTGTTGAAAAGAGCAGATGTGCTCTCCGGCGACAGGTATAACGGCTGACCGCTTGGCCGTCCGTCTGTCACGTATACCTGCATCTGTTTCAGAAACTTAGAGCCCGAGCTCCGGGCGGCCGCTCCACTTCCGTGAGATGATTCGCGCCAATTGTTCGGACGCGGAATATTCTACGATTTCAATGCGAGGAGATCGAGGCAAAAATCACCAGGATCCCCTGGGACCGGCGAATCTTTTCGGCAAACCTACCATTCTTGTTGAGCGGTGTCAAGCCGGCTTGAACCAGAGGAAGAATCACGAAATTCTAGTGAAGTACTCTCATCCGCACATACTGTCACCACCTGTTCTTATGCCGGCTAAGCACACGCGGCATGAGGTGAAATATATCCCTCCACGAAAACTTCCAGCGCCACTTCGATTGAGAAACCAAACTCAAGCGGCACAATCGATCCTGAGATCTATCTATCGGCACCGGCAAACAAGAAACCACCGCCGCCACCTCTACAGGTGGCCACCGAACCAGGGAACTATGGAAATGCACGTTTGCGCGTGCATGAAACGGCACGCATAGGCGACGTGTACGTAACGTTGAACGGCACTATACGGTAGAACGCGTTGGGGCGATTTTCGGATACCCTTGCTCTACACACCACGCCGCCGTCGGAGCACCCGCTCGCTCGCTTGCCGCTGCCGCCGCCGTCGCCACCGCCATGGCAGCGGCGGATCCGAGGGGAAGTTGCTGCTGATCGGCGAGGAGGTTTTTTCTTCGTCATCAGTCAGCAACAGAAGCACAACCGGGAGGGATCGACCACGACTACGCCGAGGGCGGCGATATTCATGAGCGACCTGGGCACCGCCAATCGATAAGAGCGAGGTGACGGGGACCGAAATGTCCGCGGAGAGATGGAAAGTGACTCAAACAGGGAGTATACTGCCGGAATGAAGGGAAGCAATGCTTCCCGCGGATGTCCAGGAAGAGCTCTTCGAGCTCGACGAAACACTTGACTTCTCGAAGGGAAAATGTTTTTTATGAACGAGACTCTTCTGATGAATAAATTATGGCAGCGTTGGAATCTTCAAAGGGAGTCTCCCGTATTCTTCCGCGGGCTCTCAATCGAGAGTTCGGCTCGGTTGACCGGTCATCGATGAGAATCACCCCTGGATTCTCTCTCCTGAGATTTCCTCTTTCTCGGCGCAATCGAAAGCCACGACCTGCCTGTGGCGTCGCGTCGTTTCACGGGTGTCCTGACGACGGCGACCTCCGTGGCGTGATCGGCGCCGGAATCCTAGGCGGTGAAATTTCATCGCATCGAAAAATCAGAAAATCGACTTTTTTGAGCGGCAGGAATCGCCCGAGCTCCATGAGGAGCAGCACTTTGGTCGTGGGCGAAGCGAGTCCACCACGAGGCTTGAGACCGAGGGACGGCCAAAACGACACATCAGAAGAGCTTCAGCAGGCTGTGTGAAAAAGCGCATCCCACATTCCTCCCAAGCGTTTTGGTTGCGTCAGAAAGCTCCCAGGAGCTTGGGAGGGAGGAACGGAGGAGGGTTCTTCGAGAATTCTGGGAGGATTCCACGGAGACTCCCGGAGCCATGAGCTTCATGGGGCTCAACTCGGGGCTCGGGGGACTTGAGCGAAGAAATGAACTGGATTCTCACTCAGAATGATCGACCAGCTACCCGAGGAATCCTCATCGGGAGCAAGGCACAAGTCAGCGTTTTTGAGAGAGCAAGTTCATTCTTTATACACCTAATCTAAGAACGTTCTTTTTCTCTATATGTGACTCGCGGCTCGAACTCTCTTTGAGTACTCTCTTTGAGTACGTTGACGACCCTCGCGGAGGTTGATCAAGAACGTGCCGTTCGAGAAGCAGCCGTAATGCATCGGTGACCGAATTCAGAAACGAAAGTATCGCTATTGTTGGGCCAGAGCAGGAGAAGAAGAATCTTCATTCTGTTCGCGATTGGGCTGAGGGAAGACGCGGAAAGGAGGGGGCTTTCGCGGGGGATACGGCCGACCGGCCGGGTGACCGGAGCCCCTCGTGAGGCACCTCCACTTCACAACTAAGCTTGGTCATGCTTCTGAACGTGTGATTGACCAAGCAAAACTATGACATTTACTTCACGACTTCGCCCACACGTCAGCTTCGAATCGTATGCTCGTTTACCTTACTGCTTACCGAAGCGACGACGAACAACAGCTTCTGACTGATCACGCTAAAAAGTTTATTCTCCATATACCAGTTAGTCAGTCAGTAGGTCCCCCAGATATTTCACCGTAGCTTCGATTGTCCAGAAAGATTCTAACGTCTGTGTATCGAATGATTCATTACGCTGCGGTGATTTATTTTCACAGGTGAGCCCCCGAGGAGAACCCGTAGCATCTGACAAGAGGTCCACATATACTCACCTGATTTTTCTCAATAGGAGATGTCGCTGCCGGTTGTCGCGGGTATTCTCGTTTGTCTTGGGAATTCCACGGAAAGTTCCTTCCGTGCGGTGAAATTCGCCGCAGACGCCCGTGCGCGGCCAAGTGCTTTGGGAAGGATGAGGAATTCGGGGGAACCGCGCTCGATCATACACTCGGTCTTCTTTTTGGATTTGCGGCAGAATTTATCGCACATCTTGACAACGATTCCAAACAAGCCGAACCAGCTGCTGGTGCTCTCCGGAGTCATCAGTCATTTCCCCGGAGTGAAAGCCTCCGAAAATAATCTGACGATGGCTCCAACTTAGAAAAACATCCTTTGATGGATGGTCTGCCTTCGAGAAAGTGACCTTTCAGACCCCAGAACGTATCGGTAACATGAGCTATCTTTGAGCGGCATTCGGTACGCACGATTCATTTCGGCATCTTTCCGATGAGATACATCGGAAGTTCCACACTTGAGGACGGGGAAGATGCAGAATTGAAGACGTCTCAATCGAGCCTCGCGAAATCGAAGCTCTCTCGTTCACTTAGGCACCATTGCTTGCTTCCTAATTCGGACGCGTGACGGGCTACCCTCCAAATGGGACAATAGATTCCGACGCTGACCCCGGTTTGAGTCGTAGAACGTCGGATGTCTGTAAAAGATTCCCTCCGATCCTCATGCAACAGTTATCAGGATTCCGAAGGGGAGGGAATTCTTCGGAATTCGGGATATCCTCCAATTCTGGCGTCGAGCAATGAGACGAGAGTAGCTACTACGTTTTTACTCTGATCCACAGTCTTGTCTTCAGATAGCGATGATAATTGTAGCGATGATGGCAGCAACCGAGTCGATGACACACAGAAAAACATAACGGAAGATGACGGCGGATAACGGCGATGATTGCGCCGTCAGGTGAATCGTAAACTATTCCCTCCTTTCTCATCTGTTTCGTCCACTCATGAGTTTCGACGGTACGTTTGATTGAGCACGACGCTACCCCCTGGTTGGTCGGCTGAAATACCAGATGACTGATACGATGCGCCGCACCTTCGCGTCGTCTGAGGCGACGTCGTTAGAGCTCGGCCAAACGCGGTGTTTGCCGTTGAATCAACAACAAGTAATTCGATTCCCAGTGGAGGTCCTGTTCGGAAAAATCAGGAGCGAGACCGAGTTGCCTGATTTACGCACGAGCTCTTGGGATCTACGTCAGATTGCGAAGTCCCGCGATCTCCCATATGAACATCAACGCCTATCTTCCCAGCAAGACCAACGATCATCGACCGCTCCGAAAGGATAATTCCATGCCGAGCGAGATTACGGGCTTCGAACTCCAGGTTTCGGGGCGGCGGGTCCACGAACCTTTCCGCTGAACAATGAGTGTATTTCATTGCGTCCGGGCAGTTGAAGCGATACCTATAGAGTCTGGAGTCTCTGCGAAATGAGTTTTCGCTCCCACTTGCGGATGGATTCGTTTTTGTTCGTCAGACGACACAATCTTGTCCGACTTCGATGAGGAGCCGATGAACAAGAACATCGACATTGTAATTCGATGCCAATATTTGTGCATCGTACGCAAAGCGACGAGGACAGGTCGGATCAGATCGCCGAGAAACGCGGAGGAGGCATCGAGAGTGCAACGGCGAAGAAAAGACAGAAAATTTGCGGAAACTCCTTCGATTCCTCCAGAGAAACAGCTGAGCGAGAAGTCGGTGAAATGTCGGACGATGTTTGCTCAGGTTCGATTAGTGCTCGCCGGATTCGAACAATGCGAACATTCCGCGTCTCAATGCGAAGAACATTTTTAGAAGTGGAGAAAATTGTGAATCTCAGATCGATCGAAGAGATCGGCTTCGCCTCCGTGACTGCTTGTCATGGCTCATGCGGGTGGAATCGTCCCAGTCCGCATGCAGTCACGGTGTCATTCCTGGGCCCGAGCCTTCGTCCGGTTCGATGCAGAGCTTACCAGCGACGTATCAATTCGGGGAAGAGCGATACCTTCAATCCGAGAGCTAGTCCGATGGATGGAAGAAGCAATAAGCATATGAATCCGGGCGTGCGATCGGCTTTCCGTGTTGAAACCTTATTACATTGTTTTATCCTCATGGGAGACTTCACAGAACGGAATACTCCGTGACGCTCCTTGAGCAGAAAGGAGCTTCAAGGTGAATTTTTTTTCAAGATATTCAAGTATCTGAAACTTCGGGTTCGCTCCGAATGTCGTCCGTGCGCGATGTTCCAACATGACTACGCTTTGTTTCAGAGGGAACCGTTGTCAAGTATAACGACCTCGCGTTTGGATATTCTGTCTGCCGCCGCTAATGTCAGGTGATCGCTTCTAGCGGCGGAAGGGAACCGTTTCTCAGGGTCTCGTGGATTGCTCGATGTACAGACCCACGAGAACAGCTCCCAGGATCTTTTATCTCAATTGTGATCCTGTTTGTCATATTCTTCATGCATATCTATTCGGGATATGTATATCTATTCGAAATTCATTATTAACCCCAATAAATGTCCCACCTCTCGTACGATGGAGTCTATTTTCGTTGATTCGAAATACTTATACCACATGAATAATAGCGGATGCCTCCTCGAGCCTGGGGAGGAAGAACGTGATGACGTCAGCATCACTCGGAATGTATAGCCACGCCCCCGTCTCAATGACGCAGACCATGTCGCCGCTCCGGGGAAACCGAATCCCTTATCTCCAGGCTCAAGCCTCTTTTCTTCAAACACATCATCGGCAAACTTTCAAGCGATTATTCATTATCCTGGAGAGTTTCTCAAATTAGGATGTCCTGCGGAGCGTAATCGATGGCATCCATTCGACTTTCAATACAATGCGTGGGTCAATGTTCGCACCTTTTCCTCATGACAGGTTCCGGATGTTATTCCTGGTCCTGAAGAGCGGAACCGGGCCGGAGGCCCCGAGCCCCCGGCAATATGACCGACTTTCCCACGAATCATCTCTCCGCCTTCCCGGGAGCCGGCTCGCTATCCTCTAGCAGGGGCAGAGACTCGGCCGGGCACGGACGAGAAAGAAGTCAGCTGACTGAATCAAGCCCTCGAGGATGACGCCCCGAGAATATTTCTTTCCCCCAGTAAGACCTCACCGGCAATCACTCGAGACGTCCTCGCTCCGAATCACTTGTCTGGGACTTGGAGCCGATGTGGCTATTTTGTGCTTGAATGAAGTCCTCTCATCGGACCCTCGCGACTGTAAGAGCAGTCGCAGCTGCCCGACAGCAGTGGCTCCTGCAGTCGTGTCGCTTCTCCGGCAGCAGCTTCGGAAGTCATCAGTTCGTTTCATGCTTAGTCGAACGGTCAGTCGATTCCCGAAGCTACACAGAGAGGTGATGGGTATCAATTGGATTGTGTATCGATTCTCTCACGCGGCTTACTTAGGGATCGCGCCTATTTTCGTTGAGGCTTCCAGCCTATTCCCTCGATCGGTCGAGTTTCGCGACTCACCGACGGACGCGAAATCACAGCTTGAATGATCTGTTCAGGCCGCGACAAAAATAGGCATCGCGGTTCGTGGGTCGCTTCGGCAGAATCGAGCGAGCTCCTGCGCGGCACGAACTCGATAATCGGACCTGTCGGAAAGCAGCGCCCCCGCGACGTTTTTGACAACGTCTTCATCGAGGGTTGGAATATGACGGAAGTTGGTCGTCGTTAATCTCTACCTGAGCAGCGGGAACCCTCGAGAAGGCCAGATGACATGATCGAGGAACGCCTCAAGGCTACACTCGACGATGGAAGTTTCCGCCCGAGCTTCCTCGCGGTCGCGCAAGATCTTTCTTGATTCCATCTTGCTGCAAAGCACGAATCCCACTCTTTTCCCGAGAATCTCCGGCTGAGTAAGATCGCGAATTTCCCCATACTCGAGAAATTCCTATTGCTCCCGTCGCTCCCCATCCCGGCTGTTCCACGTTTCTCATCGTCGTGAGCATCCTTGTCGAAGCTTGAACTTACAAAGGGAGTCTTCAGTCTCAGTTTCAGTACATCCGTACATCGGATGATTTCCTTATTCCCGGCGGCGTCCCGATATTGGCGTCGGAATCACTGGCCGAATCACGGAACCCCCGAATACGGATAAACATTGATACGAAGATATTTAACATACATATACGAAGATATAGGGCATGGATACACAGCTTCCCGCCGGCAGTAGAATGATCACGCTCCCTGTTGCGGTTTCAATCTGAACCTGGATGTCTCCTCTCACAAACAAGGAGATGGTGAGCCCCGCATTGTGGGAAAATTATAATCTAATCGACCGGCGACGCAACGCCGATCGATCGATTCAATGACCGAACGGTCGACCGTCGAGATGGACAGGCCTCCCGAAGCACGATATTCAGCGGAGCCACATAAGGTTTCCCGGGAACTCGTGTCGGAGCTAAACGATATGATCGAATTCAATTACATATGCGGCTTTCGAGTGAACGGGTGGGACGGCTTAGGGACGCTGCATGTGCAAAAGAAAAGCTTCCGACCGGTGGGTGTTCTGGCCGAAGGAAGACTCCCAGTGAATTAAGAGCCCGCCTTCCTTCATAGAGCGAGAGGACGCTTGACGTCACTGGGCGGGACACGTCCTGGATCCTTCAAAAGGGAGCGCCAAACTTGCCTCGAACCTAAACGCTTCGAGACCAAGACGTGACAACTTGCCACAGCCGGTCTCAGACCCTACGTGCTTCGAAGGTGAGTGTGAAATCTAGGTAACGCATCCGTGTCACGCTCACGCTCAGGACGCCAGAATGCGTGCCGATCATGGCCACCGTCCTTCCGAATCCGTTTTCCGACAAGCATTCAAAAGAACGTGGGAGTTGTGCTCGGTCACTCGAAAGGTTCGAGGGACGGATCGGGCGAGTTTCCGCAACTTCGAGTCTGAACTCTGGAACCGTTCATTTCTCCTCCTCTCTGTTTGCTGGGCGCATGAGCTCATCTCCGAAGCTCCAGATCCAGCTTCGAGCTTCCGAAAGGCACCTTCGATACGACCCACGTTTTTCTTCCCTCGCGGATCATCGATAAGTTTATGTCGCCTTCGATCCGATGTCAACAGGGAATTCCGCGCATATGACAGGGAAGTTCAATCCTAGAGCTTGTCGTCTTTTCCTCAGCTGACGCTGAAGAAAGTGGAGAAGGTATTAAAATTCTCCTGCGACTTGATTCCCCGATGACACGTTGTCAACAAGATGATCTTCTAGAGCTTCGAGCAGCAAGGTTGTCAAGGGAGCAGTTCAAAACTTTCATGATCTCTTCTCACATTCCATGTGGGAGCAGATCGAACACGTTGACGTCTAGGAGTTCGGACCCAGTTCGGGGCAGTATACTCGAGCGGTGAAGCTGCTTTGTCCCCGATCGCTCTTCACTCAGGCTCGTCTGACTCCGCGAGACTGAACGGCTAATTGGATGGTGTGCGTACCGGTTTTTACGGGGAAAACTTGATGCAGGCCGAGCACAATCACAGCCGTTCTTTCGATTGAGCAATCGGCGCTGGGCACGGGCTGCAACGCATCAGCGACAGCAAACGTATCCGAGGAAAGAAAGTTAGCACAAATCTATTAAGGAGCACCAGAAGGACTTGTGCACGTGATCTGCTGCCGAAACTATTTCGAGTGCTCTCTGACTCCGAGCCATCCGAGGACCGATTGCATGCGACCATCGGAGAACGCGAGTCGGATCACCAACATTCTAATCGAGTTTCCGGGTCTGGTCGGGGAACTCAAAATAATGACGGTCGAATGATTCTTCGATGGCTCTCCGTGTGTTGCTGTGAGAGGAGAGCGATAATTTTTTATCCTCATCCATCTGGTTTGGAGTTTGTCCTGCGCGAGATATGATGAGCTCTCGGTGCAGAAACTGACCATTGAACTGTTGGTGGCGCCAATTCGTAGCCCGCCGACTGATTTTCGGCTGACGAATTCCTCCTCACCCTCAATTATTACCAAGGATTCGGAGCGACATCTCCCACCGGAAACCCACGGCATCCGGATTAGCAAGCGGAAGACCTCTGTTTTCCCAAGGAGCCCACCGACGAGGGGGAGGTGCCGGCGAGTCGAAAAGTCCCGGCAGGACAGACTGGGACTCAACGGATCCTTCACCCGAATCGGAACTTCATCCCTAAAACCCTCCGTTCCTGGAATATCCTCATTCCCCCGTCGAAAAAGGCGTGTCAACCATACGATTGGGCGATTCCATGTGAGGCTCATTGTCGGGATATCGCGACCCCGCGACATGAGTGTGAGGGTTTTCTTGAGCCTCGCTTGAGAGACTTCCGGAGACTTTCGCATCTTTGCATCAATCGAGCGTCGGGATAGAAGTCGCGTCAATCCGTGAAGCGCTACCGAATGACTCGAAAGTCCGCCGCGTCATTCTTCGCCGAGGCTTCCGACCGCTCAATCGAATAGTTGCCGTCGATTGGATGTCCAATTTGAGGTTGTGGGATCCATCCCTTCTTTTAGACCCCAGACCCTGGATGCCCGAAGCCTTGCTTCAAACGGAGTGATAATCGCCGAAACCAAGCGGATGAATGATTCTGAGCCGCGGAACGATGCCTAGAATGCAGCTACAAATCACGATCGAGGAGTCTGTCAGCGGAGTGCGCTCCCACATGGACGTTCGGGCGACCCCTACCCCGCATTTTCACTCCTCGGCCCGCCCTGCTGTCAATAAGCTAACGCAGCGAGAACGAGGGGCATTCGTCCATCATTGTTGAAAATGTTGTCGATTGTGTCTGAGGACAAAAATACCCCGAGCTGTACCGAGGCCTTGAAGCGCTCGCTTGTCTCCTTTCGAGCCCCATTTGGAGTTCCGGAGGACAAAGCAGCCATTGGTGTTTGCCTAACAAGTCAGCACCTGATTTGTTCCGAAAAAGAGAAACCCAGAGGGCTTACTAATTCAGAGTCGGAGAAACATCCGAATGGGGAATCCATCTCGCCGTAGGCTACATTTCCATCGAGCAATCGCTCCGGTAGGGGGTCCGTGTCAGATCGATATCGGAACTCGATGAGGGAAGAAATACACTCAATGTCTTGGATTCGAGTAGTTGCCGTCGAAGCGTCAGGCTTTCACCGATCGGCCATCCCTCTATCGCACTGACCTCCGCAGTTTGCGATTGAAAGATCACGAGTTCGCAGATTGACACTCGCAGCGCTTCTCGGACAGACTCTTCGGTCTTTATTCTCAGCAGGATGATGCGAAAGGGAGAACCTTGAGCCGTATCTACCTTTGAATCACTCGGTGCAAGTCGCAGTGTCTCGATTAAAAACTCTCCGACGCTTCGCTCAAGTTCCGTGAGTCTGATACCCGATTCCCTCGTCCGTCTCCTGAGTTAAGCCCCCTGAAACGGAACGAGTCTCAAACAAAGCTCGATGAAGATCAAGTCGATGGATCGCGCTTCGGTGGACCCCGAGCGAGTTGAACACCTGTGCCCGCTCCTCTAGGGAAGTGATATCCACAAAATGATCCGGCTGGGGACTACGAACATTGTTGGCTTTCTGGATATCTATGCTCCAGTGTCACGATCGAAACACGAGCGTTTGCCGAGAAGGGAAAATCCAATTAGCAATACGATACTGTTTGACGAGTCGTTTCCTCTTGTGTGTAGACATTACAAGGCTCTTTATGTATTCTAATAATCGCCGGATGATCACAAGTTTGTTGCGAGAGTTCATGAGCAGCCCCCTGCGAGCGCGGGCCCACTCGCGCGGGCCACGGGCTCCCACTCTTTGTCAGCCTCCGCTATGGCTCCCCTAATTGTATACTAATACGGACATGGAGACACATGCTCATTCCAATACAACCAGAGCCGATCGGAAGGCTCGGCAATTTCTGCGGCCGGTCTCGTTCGCGATCGTCGGCGTACATGGAGAACACAAGAGCCAATTGGAAAGGAAGATCTCTATCCACCGCGATTTTTCCCAAACTTCCACCGATTTCAATTCCGGGAAAACTCGCATGTCTGAGGTGGAAGCTCTTCCACTGTGAAGTATTCTCATGACGTTCCCTCATTCAATACGGATACGCCGAGTCCTTTCGATTTTCACCCGATAGGCAATGCTTGACGTCTAGGTCTGTTTCTCATCTTCTCGTTCCGCAGCGTTCATTCCTGTTCTCGGCCGCATTCGGCTGTATACGTACATGAAGCTGAGGGTGAATTGGAGAATCCGATGATGTATAGCTCGACAAGGGCTCGATTGTCGGGCTGATTACGTGGTGCAGCCAGTTTCCATCACGTCTCCATCCAGTCCGCGATCTTTCCCTGAGCACATCATTTTCTCCTCGAAGGTCTCGTCTGCTCCCCGGGATGAAATATCTGAGTCCCGACTTCGAAGGTAGAGGGGCGGAACACTCTTCGGACGAACACCTCAATTTGAATTACTGTACTTTTCAGATTTCCCTGGCCGCCGCGATCAACATAATTTCTCTCGCTTGGACGAAAAGCTCGATACCTGCTCATCACAAAATGTTCCCTCGCGTTGTCTCATTCTTCCGCGTGTTCATCTTGGTAGCTTTCCTGGCTGGTTTCATCCCATCCAGCACCGCGGGTCAGAGAACATTCGTTCCGAACGGTCGCTATGGACGTCGAGCCGATATTCCACCGATTGTGGGTCAGTGATGCTTTTAGACTCTCGTGCGCAGGCGATTCCCTTTTCCCGAACCATGCGCTCTGAGCTTCCGGCGTTTCGCTTTCCAAAAATAATGCAATCGAAGCCACGGCGGCTTCATGTGCCACTCGTATCCTCTCCCGGAACGAGGCTCCCGAATAAAATCGACGTCATTCGGGCTTCTAGCTCGGTCGATTACTTCGCGTATGGGAAGAGAGCCTATCCATTTGAATGGAAATCGAGCGCGTCATGATTGACCTCGGCACTGTGGCGTGCTTCTGTCGCCAAGGAATTCATTAATTGGGAACTTGGTGGCCTTCCAGGTGTACAATCTCTCCAGAATGCCGGAGCCGACTCCGAAACTCCGAGTACACTACTCCTGAACGAGAAAGTCATCTCGAATCCAATGTACGTGTGCACTCATATCGGCGTGGCGGATTACTACCGCTGCGGCAGGTGAGTTACTCTCGGATAGACCTCTCTCCACTCGAGCAGATTTGCTTAGGGATGACTCTGTGGGTAGGGAGCTTTCCGCGCTTTTTCCGTCCCATGATTTTCGTCCAATCACGAACCCTTCAGACACGCCTCCGATCCCAGGGAACGGATCGTGTTCCACGACGGATGCGATTATCGGCTCTGATCGAGAGACAGCTCCTGTGGCCTGGATACCTGGATACTTTCCCGCGCATCAGAGCGTTTCCCTGAATGCTGTACATATCTATCTTCGATCTACAAGGTTCTTCTCTTCAAGTTCCTCCAAATCTGAGATTGAACGACCCAAGGGTAGCGAGCATCGAGTTCGCACGCAGAGCGGGGAGAAACCTCTATGCGGACGCTTCAATTTGCTCCATGAGGGTTCCTTTATGGAACATCAGTGTGTTGCATGAGACTTGTGTGGGACCAATCAGTGTTCAAAGAGCGGATAATCCGACTATGGAGGATCCCGCTAAATTAGGCTAAGGCTTGCGAAACCCTACATGCTATCAGGAAATAATTCTACTTTTCAGAAGAAGCGCCTCCGCCTTCATCGGTGAAGAGGGATCACGATAGGTCAGCCATGTATGAGCTCCACCGTGTACTCATCACCCACAGCTGGCGGGTCACACGTTCTGAAAGCCAGTGGAACCTGTCATCAGAATGAAGAAGTTATCTCACCGAAATGGGAAATTCTAGCAAATTCAATCGAGAGTGAAACTGAAGGCGTAGAATGGGATAACGCCATGAGTTCTGACGAGATTCCTAGGCCTTTCGGCCTTCTGGAAGGGTTGTGGTGGGATGTGAAAGGAAAATTTAGAGCTCGAGGAGCTGTCTCTAAGGAGTCGACGCGTTCTCACCGGGGCGTACCAATTCGTAAAACAGGATCTGTCACTCGAACAAGAAGCAGAGGATGAGCGCAGCATCGCAGCTAAGAAAACTAAATCATTTGAATATGCTACTCAGTTGGTTATGATCCTCCTCTATTGTACTCGAACTCGGATCTCTTGGAAGATCCATCCGTGTCTTGGACATTCCAGTGCTTACCAATACAAAGAAAGGAACAAATAATTCGACCTTCGGAAAGCGAGAGGAGGAAGCCAGTATTAGGCACATCTGCCCAAAGAGGTCTTCAGCAGAGATCACTTCATGGTAGCAAATAGATTATATCGGGGCTCGATCCCTCAGTCAGCTTTGAAGGAAAAGGTTTAATGGTAATAATATGCTCTCTTCGTAACTCGCGTGGAGACTCGTCCGGCTCCGCTCAACCGTCGCGGAAAATCTGCTTCGGAGCTGGTGTCTCTGCATTCTTGGTGTCAAAGTTCGACGTCAGCGGCGCTCAAGCCTCGATCGAGAGCAAGGGATTCGTTGTTGCTGATCTCTGGTTCACTCGACATCCGCTGGAGACCATACTGGAGTCCAGACCGGAGTCCAGAACGGGCTCCACTTCCCCCGACACTCCCGAGGGCAGATCTCAGTGGAGACAAAGTGAACTTCAAAGTGAAACAGTCTGTCCCTTGTACTCCGTGCTGTAATAGGTTCCTCGCCGCCTCCTGCGTCACCCCAATAAACAACCGTGTTATCCACCCAGCTCAAATGAGTTATCCATCCAGAATAGCTTTTGAGTCGACCGAATTCATTCCGGGGAATCGATGCGAATTGTAGGAGAAACGACGTATGTGTTCCGGTGATTCTGCTCTCGGAGCGAGCGTTTCACGGAGATGTCTTCGGAGTTTGCATATTCCGATCTCGGCGTGACCTTCTCGTGAATTATTCTGTCTGAATGAGCGACGAGTCGGAGATTATCAATCATTCTCCTCCCCGAACAGCTGATCCCCGGCTCTTTCTGCGTCCAGACCCAATAATTTACGACGCGGATTTCGAAATCTTTCGCGCAGCGTCACTCTCAGTTCGCGACAGCCTTCTCGAAGACACTTCTTTTCTGAAAGCAGTGCGTTGGCAGGTGGCAGGGGATGTTTCGAAACTGAGAAACACGCCTGTCCCGAGAATATTCTAACTGAATTTTTCAAAATTTCAATATTCAATATTATTAAATATTTATTTAATATCCTAACTGAATTTTTAAGTCCTTCTCTGGAAACAGTGCGTCGGCAGGTGGCAGAGGGTGTTCCGAAACTGAGAAACACGCCTGTCCCGAGAATATTCTAAGTGAATTTTTTCTGAATTCAATATTCTAACTGAATCGCAGAGTCTGTCACCTTCCCGCGAGAGAATCCTCCAGTGCTTCTCTACTTAGTCTTACGCAGGAAGGAATTCACAGAACGCTCGAATTCAGCCATCGAGGCCGCGCAAGGTTCTCGGGAGTCTTCTGGGCGGTCGATGCTTCTCTCCGACAGGGTCGCACCTCCTCACAATCTCATGTCGCCATGGAGCGGGGAGAAGTTCTCGTGACACGCGTTGGAGCGTAAGCGAACAACGGGTCGCAGTTCCAAGGAGATAATCAACCGTCGGACCTCTTTTCAATTGACCTACCAGCCCTCAGGATTTGACCCCGATTCAGCAGGACACATGGCTCGTGGTTGCTTGTAGCATCCCGCATTGCTCGCTTCTTCTGATCTCATAGATCTCACAATCGAGTAACTCTATGATATAGGTATGTATGATAGAATGTCTGTGATAAACGTATGATGCATGAGATACCGAACTGAATTCTTCTTCTCCTCATGAGACTGTCGCGGGTCACCTGTTGTCTCCCTCGGGCAGGCTTCCTCTGAAGAGCGGCTGTCGCAGGCTGTCAGTTGTTTAGATGCTAGATCCGTGATCATTGCGTTCTAGAGACATGATCGTCGCCGGCCCTTCGATGAGGGGGATGATCGAAGATGAGTGACCGGGAATCCCTGCTCTATTCTCCGATAGCACTGTCATTCCCAGGTTTGCTGAGCCTTCTTATCGACTGGCCCTCCCCTCAATCTCCACGCCATCACACGACCCTCGTCTAAATGGTCGGGCGCGAGACCGCAAGTCTTGGCCCTAGCTGCTCTTCATTCCTGACCGCCATTCCGAAGCCTCTGTGTACTCTGACTGTCGACGGCTCCGACGATAGCAGGGTTCGGGGTATATGGGAGAAGTGTCTCGACCATATCGTTCCCCCTCTAATCTGGGAAACTCGATACTCACCAATCCTCCGAGTCTCCGCCACCAGGTCAGATATCAGGATATCAGTGTGAGCAGAGCCTTCGACGGAGCGGTCTCGACGTTTATCGAGGAATCCATTGGGATATTCGTCAATCAGGGCTGAGGCACAATGGGCATCGAAGCGTTTCGGGAATTCGGGAGCTAGCTCTCAACTTCCGATGGTTCGACTCAAGGGAGCTGGCTAACTTCGCAATCAGAATTCCTCGCCTCAGAAGGCTCCCGATGTTGATCATTCTTGAAAGTAGTGTTCCAACTTCTGAAGCTGAAGCGGTCGAATCCTCGAGCCACGTCTCTCGCGAAAACAATCGGTCAACTCCAGGAAATCGGGATCGGAAGGAATTGCATACAAAGTTTGCTAGCTGAGGGAGGAAGGCAATCCGAGACTCATTACCTACACGACTGGGCGTGTGATTCCTCACATATGAGAAACGCTCGGATGTCAGGGATTTCCCCTCACTCCTGCCGAGCTTTCCGAAGGCGAGCTCACGTGAAGACTCCGGTCAACAACCGTGTATTTCGGTTTCCTTGATCCACTTTGTGGAGCAGGGCAAGGATCTTCTCAAGATAGATTGAAACCTCGAGAGAATTCCTCCCGGGCATCGAGCGCCCCTCCGATATCAGAAAGAGAGGCGCTCCTCAAGGGACGTCGACCATATCGTTCGCGAATCAATCTCCGGCGTCCTTAGAGCTTCCAAAAGTCGACAAAGTCCGTAACAGCGGGGAATCCCGTAGGACAGGGCTCTCCCGGGTAAATCAGGACGATGGCGTTCGGAGTCAGATCATACGGCGAAACGAAGATCTCATCGGGAACGGCCAAACGCGTATCCGGAACGTGCTCTCGAAGGCTAAAGCTGAGAACCATTGAATTTGCGTGGATTTTCTCGTCCCGAGAGTCCCCTCTGAGCCATTGAGGCATCGCGAACTCGCCCCTTATGAGCCGAGGAGTGGCTATAGCCTCATTAGCCCGCTTCCTGGAACGAGGCCGAACTCTTCCTCGCGTCAAAGTATCATACTCCCGACAGCTTCGAACTTGAGAAGCCAAATCGAGAAACTCGCTGTCTATGCCCATCCAAGTCCTGTGAGCCTCCTCCCTGTAACAAATTTTGACTGAGCCGCGGCAAAATTTTGCGACAAGGTCAGTTTTTTCCTCGAGGGAAACCATTTGTCTACTCCACCACTCTACGGGACTATACGCTCGTCAACGATCGATATGAGCTGTCAATGAGTCCGTCTCTCGACTGCCCGGCCGTACCAGATCCCGTTTCTGCATCGGGAAATTGGCCCGGATTCTTGCACGACTCATTCCGAAAAACTGTTGTGCTCTTGAGATTCGAACATCCCCCGCCCCATCCGCAGCCCAGGAGGGATTTTTCGACCCCGCTGGTCCTCGCAAGCAGAACATATCTTATCAAAAATGCAATGGATTCGGATCAGGGCATCTCGAGAGGGGGTTTCCGCATCCCGTAGTCGCGGCTGACAGAAAACGGTTAGAAAAACTCGTGTTGTAATCCTACGGGAAAATATATGTATTCGATTGAGTTCCTTGCCACACTGGGACTGCTCATTCAATGGACTTGCCGAACCATCGACTAGTACACTCGAAATGGCACCGTCAAGGGTGCCGAGCTTGGTCGAGAACTCCAGAAGAGGAGTGAGCGGGGTTTCGCGCGAGAAAAAATTGGGAACCGCTGATCTAGATGATAGGAGTACTCGTTGGCGTCGCAAGAATTTGGAGTTTCCACTTCCGATCCCGGATACGAATTAGGATTGATGTAGGAGAATTCCGATATAGAACAAGTGAGCTTTGCAATGACTTCTACAACAGCGCCGGATAAGCTCATAGATGTCATCCACGGAGGAGACTCGCCCGAAAGGGGTATATGGGGACCTGTGAAATTGCGCAAGCGAGCGGAGTCGACGGATTTCTTATTCTCGCGGCGGAGCCGTCCCTTGATTAGAGTACAGTGGATTCTGACAGGGGCCGCCGTACAGAGACCACCTGAGTCATCCGACCGTTTCCCCGCGAACCGATGGCCATGGAGGCCTATAATGTACTGGACGCGTACTCGGACCACCTGACAAAATCGGGAATGTTCCTTTTCGAAGGCAGCGTATTGAAGTTCCAATTCTCGAAGACGAGGCGCCTTGAGAGGACAGTGCGGATTATTTTCCGCGAAGCTTGAATCGCTTCAGCAGAGGTTCTCACATTTTCTGGTGCCATGGCCCTCCACCCTCAGAATTCAATGGGTCGCGTGCCGCCGCGCCGCCGTGGCTCTCGCTCGGCCGCTCAGACCCTCGTTGATGAATATCTGCGCGTTGAGGCTTCAAGCCATTTTTCGCATTTCTGGAGTCATTCTGATTTCCTCCAAGCTTCATTGATCGTCCGCAATGGATCCGGTTACCCTAGCCCAGGGAGTACCCTCGAAAAAGTGAGTGCTACCTCATTTTCTGGAATGGATACTTCTCCACTTGAATGAATTTCTCGGGTTCCGTGTGAATTTGCGGAGGTGTTGCATCGCCCCTCGAACCTGCTTGCGTTCGAGTAAGGTTCGTGCCGACGGGTCGGGGCACCGACTCCCCATCTCAGGATTGCCAGGAACAGGGAAAACGGAAGCGGAAAGAGAACTTCTGTGTCTCGAGGCCGCGATTTCTCCCTGCCCAATAGAACGGGACGGTCGCCGCCTCGACGTGGACTCAGATTGCTGAGTGAAATTATCCATCCTTCGTGCCATTTCCAAATCTTCCTAAACGAATCTTCTGGCTCCCAATGGTCCGTTGTAGTCCCGCACGCTCTAAGAGAGATGGAACGAATCATCTGTTCAGGGAAAAAGGTTTCGCGGAGGCGAGCCTGGTTCCATCTCTGCAGTCGGCTCACATTGGATAGTAGCTGAGAGACACTGGTCCTTAGGGACGGTCATGACAACTCACTAATCGTGAAAGCTGGAGCTATTTTATAAGAGTCAGGAGAATCCGGAAATGATTCGGGGGCGATGCTCCCGAAGGGTGTGGAGAACAATGAACAACGGTCCCGATCACCATCGATTTATTTAGGCAATCGAAGACGCATTCGAGGCGATCCTGGGCCACAGATCAGCGCACTCCTTCGAAACTGGACCTGTGATGGCTGAACCTTTCATTTCGCCTTTGTTGTTGACGATCACGCCGGCATTATCCTCAAAGTATATGAATGTTCCATCCTTCCTGCGGAATGCCTTCCGCTGACGGATAACCACGGCGGGCATAACCTGCAACCGGGACCTCATGAGAAACTGCTCCTGCCGCATCCTTGACAGTTGACAGGAGTCCGCAGCTTAATATGCCACCGTCGGGAACTAACCTTCTTACGGAGCTCGGGTTTACCCTTCTTTACGGTGGCGACGAACATATCTCCACAACCAGCTGCGGGAAGTCGGTTCAATCGACCCTTGATTCCATTAACAGCGATTACGAAGAGATTCTTGGCTGGAATAAATTCGTCAGTCATGCTCATGAGCTCTCGCAGTGATTGCTTAGATTGGAATGAGGGACGTCAGACGAAATAAAGTCCAATTCTTGAGAATGCCGCCCGTCTGTCGAATACCGAGCCGATGTTCTAACCTCCAGTGTTGTCGGCGCAGTTCATCACAGCTCCGACTGGGAGACCAAGAGAAATTCTGAATTTGGCTCCAGCCTGTCCACCACGTCCTCTCTTCGACATTTTTAGTCACTGTTTCTGGAACTCTTTGAAGAGTTGTGCGTGGAAGCGGACCACAACGTGCTCGAAGTCGCCACGCTACGCCGAAAAGAAACATCCAGCCGGATTTCGAAACCACCCGACCAAAACGTACCACACTGGATACCGATAGCACCACTCTTTGAGTTTGCCACGATTTGAAGGCACGCGGTCAATATCGTCGGAGAAGACATCGAAAGTTTCTCGGCGATCAATGACGCCCTCGCGAGTGTTGTCAGGGAAAACATCCGATGGTATTTTCCAGAGCTCAGGCTCTCCCACGATTGCATCGATCGGTGCTGTCAGTGACGATATGATGCGCGAGGTTCGGCTGGAAGTTCCATCTGAATGCCTCCAGATAATGCTGTGCCTGTTCTCTTATTTTTCTCCGAGATTCCTGGAGGGAATTCCGCTGGGCAGGGTATCGTGGGCGAAGAATCTTCTGCCTTCCGTGGGCAAGGCACCTCATCGCGGATTGAATCCCGTGGTGATTCGCTGTGACTGACAACAAAGATTTCCGACGTCTGTGTAGACTAGAGTGAGGGCCGGACCATGAGAAACCTTGAATCTAATGACTCTCCAGGACAACGATTCTAGGCCGACCGACGCGCAATCCTCATGGATGGGCCGCACCACGTTGCCATACCAGCTTAGCGGCTTCGAACTAATCTCTCGACTCATGTCCCATAGCGTGGGATATGTTCTCTTGTCTCCAATCAGTGATGGAACGACCCAGTACTGTCAGCCATGATCATTGTCTTGAAATGTCTTCCGCCCCTAGCTGTAGATACTGCCCCACAAAAGTGTACGATTCTGTGCGACATTAGCCGAGACTCTTGGGAAGTCATGGGCCACTCGGAAATCTCCACGGATTCATCGCACAGGCCTGAATCAGAGAATCTAGACTGCGATGGTCATTCGCTGAATTCCGGAACCGGGGTTCGAAATCGCCTGTCCTGTCGCGAGCGAAAACCATGTTAGAGATTTTTCCTGTGTTCTCTCGTTCGAGTCTTTTCAAAAATGAGTCAGGTTTGTCCATTCTGCTCGCCCCCATTTCCAGAAGCTTCGCTCTCCGTATTGAGAAAACAACCAGGTCCATCAAACCTTTTAGCGGGAAGGGACATTTTCAAGGGGGCCTCTCATCCAGAGCTCACGCATGCCTTGAATCGTATCCACGCACCGGATTCCTGCAAAATCACCCCTAATCGATTAAGGTTCCCTCTTCCGTGATTTGTCTTTTTTTTTTCGGTGGAGCAGCTCGCAAAGGGGTCACTCTATGATTCTCAAAAAGAACTGCGAGGGCGAAAAGGGGGAGGGAGACTGAGGGGAACGTAGGAGGGAAAGGTGAAAGAGCCATAGGAAAAAATGCATGGACGCACTACCCAAAAGAGTGGAAAATTCAACTTGGAGTGTGGTGCTCATGCAAATAATGCCCACTAAAAAAACCTACGGCTCTTCACCCGATTTGAAGAGTTCAGGATCATACGTTGAAGGGAAGACATGAGGGGGAAGGCATTCCATAGACGGGATGTTCGGGGGAAAAAGGTGGAGGCGGAATGAGCAGTACGATTGGAAAAAAGTTGGACAGAGTAGAGATGCTGCTTGGTACTCTTCCTGGTTACGCGGGCGGGGACCGAAATAAGGGGAACGAGGGAAGAGATTTCATCTGAGCATTTTCCATGGAACTATCGATAAAATAGGCAGAGGTCGGTAACGTTGCGACGTGGGGATCAAGATTCAATAGAAGAGGATATGGCTGAATCACCGATGAGACGAATAGCACGTTTTTGACTAGAGTCCAGGATAGAGAGGGATGAAGGAACGGCTTCGCCCCAGATATGCGAGCAGTACTCAGGAGAGGAACGGATTTGGCAGAAGAGCGAAAGAAGGTGAGAGGGAGAAAAGAAACGTTTGGCTCTGAGAAGGAATCCTAGTTTTTGGGAAACTCACTTGGCCATGTTTGCTATGTGATTGTGCCATTTGAGATTTGACGAAAGGCACACGCCTAGAATAGAGATATTCGATGAAGGAAGCAGCGTTTCGCTGTCGAAAGAGATGGTACGACTAAAGGGCTCGGTTCTCTTCGTGAAAAGGGTAAGCTGCGTCTTAAGGGAATCGACTGGACCAAATTAGTTAAGCCCCATTCCAGAATCTTCCGTAGATCGCAATCGATGGAGGAGAGCCAGGTGCTTCGAGAGGAATTCGTTCGGGTTAAGGTCGGCTGCTTCTTAAAAGAGTAGCCAGCATACTACTAGCAGAGTAATGTCGTCGGCAAAGCCGTTTATGGGATGTGGCGTAGAGGCGAGAAGCGAGAAGATCATTGATGTGCAAAAGGAAGAGAGTTGGAGAGAGTACTGAGCCTTGGGATACACCTGCGTTCATTGGGAACGGAGTAGCCAGCATACTGGATCTGCTTCTGGAGAGATCTGGAGGAGAGGGCGCCATCGGCCATAACCGAGGAGAGCGGCATGCCAAACCCTGTCGAATGCCTTGGAAATGTCCAGAGAAACAGCAAGGGTCTCGCCATGTTTTTCAATAGTTGAGTTCCAAAGATGGGTGGTGTAGAGAAAGAGATCGCCAGTGGAGCGACCCCTTCGAGGAGAGGAGCTGAGCCCTAATGGCTTTTTCCGTAACCTTGGATAGGATGGATACACGGGTGAAATAGGACGATAATTAGAGGGCGAAGATTTGTTGCCTTTCTTGGGGATAGGCTGAACGAGGGCAAGCTTCCAGCAAACGGGGAATACGCCTGAATCGAAGGAGAGAGAGAAAAATCTACGCAGTACAGATGCCCGCATTTTTGGAGAACTACTGCTGGGATACCATCAGGGCCTGGGGCCTTAGAAACATCGAGGGTGCCGAGGATTTTACGGATCGAGGACTGGTGGAACGATGTTGAAGGCATGGAGGGAGGAGCGCGAGAAGGAGGGGGCGGGAGTTGATAGCCGGTATCAAGTTACCGTATTTCCTCTAATAGTGGGGCATGCCCGATAATTGTTCAGAGCCCCCAGATGGGTGCCCGTTAAATGGAAGTGCCCGGTTATGGGAGCATGCCCGTTTGGATTGGATGACCTATCGACGGACTCAAGAAAAAGAAACTCCAAAAAACACAAACTAATGCTTGCCCGTTTCTTATATTACAAAGGTACCTCACTGTGGTTTTATACACATTTCTCCGCTTACGCATCATCTAACAGCTCATCATCTGTGAGCTTGTCCATGTCCGTCTCGTTCGACACCCCGCTCAGGTTGCATTCGTTTCCCGAATCATGACTTTTTCGAGCTTCAGCGAGCTTCTGGCGACCGGCAGGTATTTCTCCATGGGGTTCGAAACAGTGGATCTGGTGATTCTCCGAACCGTCAAAGGCGACAGTGATGCCGCACTGTTTGAATGACCTGACAGTCAAGTCCTCGGGCAAATCCCGCCACGAATCCAAAATCCATGACAAGTAGATTTCCATTGGGGGAGCAGCCACATTTCGGCCACGGGTCAAACGTTTCTCGCCGTGCGCCATCCATTCCTCGTAGCGACGGCGGATCCCGGCATTGGACGGGGCGTTCCAGGAAACGTCTGGAGGTTGTACGGTTCGGATGGTGCCCGTCAAATAGAGGTTTGAGAGAGTGCCCAGCATGCCCCACTATTAGAGGAAATACGGTAAGAGTTTTCTGCAAAGACCTCAGCGAGGGTATTGGCCTTATCTTCAGGAGTTGTTGCAAGGGGACCACTGGGCTTAGACAAGGGCGGGAGAGTTCTGCCGATACGTGCCGGAGGAATCTATGACTCCCCTCTGTGGCTGAAAAAAATCGATCGATGGAAACCCCTTATCGGCAGAGATCCCGCTGGACTGGATAATCCACGAGGGGGCAACTCGACTGCTTCTGGGAGCCGACTGTCCAAGACGAGTGTAGCATCAGACACAGAAAGGAAACGCCTGCTCCTGCTCAAAGTTCCCGCACAGATCATCGGCATCATCCCCATCAACAAAGGCGCTCTCCAATAGATTCCATTTTCGTGGCAGTTCACCTCGGGTTTTTCTTGCACGCACCTTCCGAAGACTGATCACAGTATCGATTTAGAGCTACCTTCCGAGGCGGAGAACTCGGAGCGTGCCGAAACATGCTGCCGTCAATCAGGAGCTTGACCCGTTTCGGGACGACTTCCTCTGCGTGCGCGAGGAGCATGGGCTCTGTCGTTTATCATCCGGAAGACAGGATCGTCAACGACAGTGAATCATATCGAAAGTAAGTATCGAGGCCGGCGCGCGACCGAGGCTGCCGACGCTCAAGCTGTCCGGGAGTTCGGGAGGAGAAAAGCTTCCGAGCGGAGAGGAAAAGTTCAATTGAAACCTCTGCGCGGGATCGTCATTCTCCGCTCCGGAGCCTCAGGGTCGGCATTCTCTATCATTTCAGAGGGATCCGATTGAACCGCTTCGGGAGTCCCAGCGTACTCCCAGCGAAAGGCTTCACTCCCAGAGATCCTACTGACAAAAGACCCATCAACACAATGCCAGTTTACAAGCCGAAACAAGCCTGGGCACCTAAGCGGGCGTTTTTCGGGCAGAACGATTATATCGGTGAGTTGGAAAGTCCGAATACGCAGAAAAATGATTGTCTGAGTCTGAACCTCTGAAGTCGGGGAGTCCACTTCAATTATCATCATCCACTAGCTTCCCTTGTGAGCAATCATCGCCAAAGTATCATCGCCCTGTTTCAGATATTCTCGGAGACGGAAGCGCCAGGCCCACCGACTGTATGAGAGGGGTGCCGGCTTGGCTTCGCGGCTTCCAGGGAAATGAATACCAGATGTTATTGTTGAAAAGGCAAGCGTTTCAACACTGGAGAGCTCTACGACCGATGAAGTACCATCAGATGAATCTGCGTATTAAGTTCCTTTACCACCGGCTGAATTTCAAGACACCCAGTTAGACGCTTGTTCGCCGTAGCGAAGACCGTAGATTTGAATTCGTCACGAAAAACGATCTTTCTTGTACCTGGACGCTGGGTATGAGAGCACTGGCCAAGTTCGTTCAGTAAACGGAAATAAAGTACGTTTATTCAACTGATTCCGATACGACTTGAACTTCGAAATTCCCAAACTTATATATTTTAGAGGGGATCCGGAACCTGCTCGGACAGCGATGGCTCGAGGGCCGAGCTCTCCTTCTCGGAGCCCTGAGCCGAGTGGGCGTGGGGATGATCCAAGACGAGCCGTTTGTGATCCGCGAAGCCAATAAATGTCGTCCCCGGTCTTCGATTCACGCTGATTCACCACGATCTGGATAGACTGACAATGCTGAGCTTCGAGCACCAGTCCACTCTTACGCGCATGTGCCATGATGATATTCTAGCTTGGGGTATCCAGAAATCCCCTCAGCTCTCCCGTCCAAAAATTATCACCAATTCCTAAACCTCTCCTCGCCGGTATCTCTCTCCAATGGCTGAATGAGTAGTCATGATGCAAGGTTCCCGCCAGCGACTACAGTGGGTAACATCGGGTCTGCTCTTCCAATAGACTTATTCCATTCGCTCCCCTCCAATGATGAGTTAGCAGTGGCGCTTCTGGAAGCTTCGTCCCTCTCTGGATTAGATTATATTATGCTCATGATGACACAGGATTATCGAGCGAGTCGCTTTCAAACGTCTGAGCCCGCTCCGATAATAATCGTCGCCTCCGGCTATCTACGATCCTGCGTCAAGACGCGCTCAGAAAATCCATACCTCGCGGAACTTTCCCCGACTAGCCATTCTCGCGATGAATAGTTCGCAGAACGACTTCATCAGCATTGCACCTTTGTCGCCGCGGCTCCTTCCATGAGGACCTTGATCGACGTGGCGCAACTTCGATGATATACATCGCTCCCGTCAAATTCAATTTCTCTGAAAGCTTTGTATATTCGCTTGTATTCGGCACCTCAGGGATGGCGTGGATCCGTTCGATCCGCGATATCGAGTGGTAGTCCTCGCCATCTATGACACTGATTTAATTACCGCCAAACATTCGCGGTTTTTGATTGGACACCGCATTCAGCGAATATTCACGCCAGCACATCCATCCATCCGTGTCCATATCACCGTCCAGGTTATCGATATCTTCTAGAACGGTGCTATCGGGGGAAGTTTCATGAGAAACTTATCATCATCATTATCATGGGGGGATCACCTCGTCGACATCCCGTCGTAAGATGTGCGAACAACCTCATCCGAGTCGCTCCGACTCCTAGCTATGCTTAACAGTTGCGTAGATTTCACAGGTATGTATCCAGCTATGGTTCTCGGTCGGATTTCTCAAGTTTCACATGATGACCGTATGCTCTATATGTCGGGTTTTAGGTCACTGTTATACGTGCTGGTTATCTCGAAAACCGTAGAAAACAGACCGCAGTCGGAACTGGCCGCGAAGGCGATTCAATAGATTACCTAGATAGACTACAACTAGCGATATGATAGTTCATTCACACAAGAAAAGAAACAGGACCTCCGCCCTGAACATCGACAGGGCGTAAATCACTATTCGTGATCCTCTTCTTCAGTCTCATCATTCAGCGACAATAATTATTATCTAGATCAGCCAGCATGTGGAACTCGAAAAGATAATAATCGGTGTCGAGGAACTGCACACTAGGACAGGACGTATAAGGCAGCCTCGATGAGAGTTTGCGGCTGATCAACCAGTGTACAGTGTCTTATCATTTGTCCTGCGTCCCCGCTCAGATCACTGTGGCGATGTCCCAAATTTTCATGTTGCGGTCCGATCCGACGGTGGCCATCAATTTCACGCCGTTCGGTGCGAGGGACATACCGGCAACCGGCGTCTTTAAGTCGTGGAACTCTGCGAGGGATTGTCGATCGCGATCCGAGACGTGCAGATGGCATTCGTCGCAAATGCGAACGGGGAACTCGTAACCTAAAACCGGCAGAGGGGACCGGTTCGAAGAGCACTTGTCGCAGAGTGCTCTCCCACATCGGCGGCAGTGATGCTGACGCAAACCAACCTGCGAAAGAATTGAGGGTGAACGAATGTCGCAAAATATTGTTGATTGAATCTCAGCGGATGAGGACTCACGGGACCGACTCTCCTCAGGTCTGATGCGTTCAACTTCGGATTCTCTCTCTCGGGATGCGATTTTACCTGTTTCTGGTCAAGCATAGCTTTGACGTTCCAGAAGAAGGGCCTTGCGCAGCGCTCACAGCAGTCCCGCTCTGCCCATTCCGGGGTCCCTTGTCTTTTCGCCGACATATCCCAGACGACGAGGGTAGAATCTTCGGAGACTGATAGGAGTTTCTGACCAAAAATCGCTAGACCTGTGGAATACGAAGATGGATTGTCGTAAGATCCCCAGGGACAATACGGACTCTCGAGCGCACGGCAACGGGAGAAATCCGAGCTGCCGTCTGGCAGCTCCATGAACGAGTTCAGGGAGAGAAGGCCCGAGGGTTTCCTCACCTGTTACGCGTTGTTTGTGACCGCAGAGTTCATAGGCTGTGCCTTTACCACCCCCAATGTCCCACACTATGATGACCTGGTCGAAACTTCCAGAAATGAGCAGACTCTTCTTCTCGTCCCATAACAGGGTCTGGATCGATCCCGAATGACCTCGTAGTGTGGTGACAGGCTGGTAGTTCGTTTCCGTCAACTTAAGCATCGTGATGTTCCCTGAATAGTCACCTACGAACGCGTGTCGCGAAGCCGCATCAAATTCTACCGTTGTGCACCATGACGAGCTCTGGAAAGCTCCCAGTCTACGACCTGTTTCGGTGGAATGCCACTGGAAAACCAACGATGTATCATCAGGACGACGATTCGAGATATTCTAATCGATCCCAGCTGTCGGAAACCCAATTGCCGATGAGATTTCAATGTTTTAAAGCCTACCTGGAAGTACTTGTCTTTGCCAGCCGATAACAGCCACTCCGTCGCTAATGAAAACTTAATGGACGCTACGCGTTGCTGATGGGCGATATAGCTCCTACGGGACGAATATTCCGATCAGCATCAGCCCCACACGGTGAAACCTCTTAGCATGCATGAAAGTTTGATGAGAATCGATTGGTCTTACCTCCGGAGCGTGATTTTGTTCAGATCATCGGACAGATCGAATTCGGTGATGGTTCCATTATCCAAAGCGACAAATAGCCGTCTGGTTCCGTGCTCGTAGTCCATGGCGCTGGCCGCAGCCGGCATGGTGTGACATATCGACGGCCAGTACTGGCCCGAGTCCCTCCGAGACCAAATCCGAATCGTTTTGTCATCGGATATGGAAATCACCGCCGGGTCGTCCTCCGCCCCGATGAGAATGGCCTGGAACGGTTGTATCGTGAGATCGAGTGAAGTGATCGATTTCTCCGTCGGAGCTCATCATCGTTAGGAGTTATCGAATGTCCCGATCTGCTCGACAAGGGAACGTCGAGCAGCGAAGCTATCTTCTCGTGACAAGATCCGCCAGCTGTTCTCAGAGGTCCGCTGTCGTTTCGTATGCTTTTCATAACAGTCCTGCTGGGGATCCCTCATCTAATCTCCGCTACGAGGAAAGGGAGATTCAGAGCGCGAAAGCGGCTCTTCCGAGAGACACTCATATCTCACGTCAGCTCCAGAGGAAAAGATCAACAGTTACGCGATTAGATTAGTGAATCGAGCCAGGAGAACGCCCGCAATTCATCCAAAGTTTTGTAGCGAAAGAACTTCCGCCGCATAGCATTCGGTCGTAGAGGAGCGATTTCATGACGGACGCATAACGGAGATTCATTATACGCGGCGGGGATGCGTGCGTTCATGAGGGACTTGAACGAATACGAATAATCACGGAATCGAAACGTTGTCGTAGAGATGAGTCAGAGAGACACTTCCGAAGGCTGGGATGTTTCAGGCTCGGCGTATTTACGCTGAACGATATCCGTCAGCGCTTCTGTCTCGCTGGGAATGAGTGAACGACGTTTTCTCAGAATGGGTCCCGAGTGCAATTGTGTGCGAAGCTCCAATGGGGGTTTCCGTCCGAATTTTCCAGGACTCACCTGATTCACGGTTTCTTGGTGTCCGTCGAGTTTGCACAAGAACTGCGGTTTTTTCGACGACATGAATTGGGTCCCAGCGACCGGCTTTATCGACGCAGCCATATCGGAGTCTTCTATCAAATTTTCTCGCCTCCCACTGTCATGTGAGATCTCCGAATGCACGCAAGACCGTGTTTACTTCCTGCAGCACCACACGCGAACGTTCCAAAGCCTGTACGGTATACGGTGTCTGCACGACGAAGAGAGTTTTTCTCGCTGCAACTACCGCGCTTTTCGCCGCTCCGGTCCCGCGGATCGCTCCGAATTTGATTGCAGATCGGGTGCTAGGTGTTTCTGAGCGAGCCGTTCGGTCCTGGTCTCCTCTGGCCACTCCGTCTGTCAAGTTGGCTCCCGATACCGTAGCGAACCGCAGTAACGAGCGACACACCGCCGATCCTGGCGGCGGTGGTCGGCTGCGTCGTTAAACGTTGTCTCCTCCATATAGGGTTCAAAGCTGTGGCGCGAAACGAGACCACAGTAGAGAGACCGAGTTGGATTGAGCAGATGTTCGGTGTTTTTTTCATTCTCGTTCCAGGCCAGTTTTCCCGGGAACTATCACAGAGCGCATCCCTCGAGGAAAGTCCGCAAGCTCAGATAATCATCGTTGCTGCGCGCAAAGAATTATTTGACGAGAACGACTTCTCTTGTTTGTTTTTGGCTCCACAAACAATCAGGGAGCGATTTCCACGGTCTTTAGACCCTGATGGCCAAGTAGTATTCTGGTGCCGTGTCGACTTCGAACCACTAGAGATGCGCTCACTCCATTTCGAGGCGAGAACTGCAGGGCCATGGCATCATTGAGTAGCTTGAGGCTGAAACCCAGCATGTCGGACAATGAGCCGGGACGAAATGAAGGTATCATCTCCCGCGGAGATTCCCGCCATGCGATGCTCGCGCACTTGCTTGGGTTTCAGGCAAGGTCAGCAGGTTTTCTATGTCCCTCGGCTCCTAGCTGCCAGAACTAGGTTCGAGTATTTCACAATCAGGCATGCACCCGATTGAGCACCGTAATTGATAAATAATGGGCATTGCGAGACTTATTAGCGCATATCGTCAGTCGGAATGCGCGCATTAGGCGTTCTCTCCCTTCACCTAGACGGCTCGACGGAATGAGATGGAAAGTCATGATGCGCATATATGCACGACATCTTTGCGCCCTTAAGGCCATCTACGATAAGTTTTCTATTCCAATAGTGCCGTTCGAATCTGAGCATCTCATTCACTCAGTTCGTTCGCTAATCAAGTTCAAGGCGTCAGGATAGGAGGTGAGGCGCGCGCATGTTTCGCGCCGGATGACGAATTCTCGTTCTCTCCGGGACATTTCCCACTCGGTTGTGGGTGAACCCATTCCGCAATCGGTCCCAAAATGACCCATCTGAGAGCGATAGAAGCGGTTGCGCGCACTTCTCCATTACACATTGTTGTGGGCAAATCAAAAAGTCTCGCCGTGATGCCTCGTAACCCGGAGAATTATTCATATTCCCGGTTTTTCGACCGAATTCTTGAGTCATGGACGTCCGTAAGTCCGGAATCCACCCGATAGGCCCAAAATGGATCAGTTGTGGCAGAATTTCGATGATGCCTAGCGGAGCGCATCAACCTCGTTTCTCACTCAGGGGACTATCTCAAAGCATTCAAAAGAGTAGAGATCCGAAGGGGACCCTTTCTCTACACACCGGGATTTCGGAAAACTCAATTCCGGTGAAATATCCGACTTTTTCCCGAAGATGAATAATTACAATTATAAATCCAAATATTCGGTCTAATTACGTTTGCTCGATAGCTGCCTAACTCATTTCATTCGCTCGCTGCAACTGGGCGCCGGCGCCCCCGGGTCAGCCTATCTGCTCCATTGAATGATTGAGAACGAATTGCGTCAACCCGGAGAAGCCTGTTAACGCTGTTACGTTTGAATGCCCCAATGGATAAGAGCGGCCACGCCCGCTCAGAAACGGAAGACTCCCCAAGCACCGCATCATCGCTTTGTCTTCAACACCTCAGGCATGGCCGGTCTAATCGGAAGCGCCAAACACCCCACGAGCTTTCGGAAACGAGGGTCGATCCGACTACTCCGAATCCAAAGCTTAAAATGCCCGATCGAGAGCTCGCCTCCCCCTCCCCCCCAATCTTCGCCCGAATATGTGCAATGATAGAGGAGCAAGCTCCACAAATATCTCGGATCAAGTAGGATGTGACTTTGCGTTTGGCGCCCCCATTTGCTTTGGCGAATCCTAGTTGATCCCGAACCGGAGTTTTCATCCCGCCGACTGGATCTTCTCTCTGTTTCCGACAACACACTTGAGAGGAACTTCGTCCCCTGCGCGTCTCCAGTTCCGACGAGTCAACTAGTCCGGACCGTCTCGTTCACAACGGAATGACGCGTCTCCGTCCCAGTGAAACGGCGGTTCCAAGGAGGAAGCCGGCTCGCCCAAAGACAATGTTCACTGCAAAACGGTGAAAAAGTGGAAGCGTTCCGTGACGTGCGGAGCCTCACGTTCCCCGTCTGGGTTATGCACACTTCGGAAAACAGATGATGAAGCCGAGACGTCAGCTCCGGTGTCGAGCCGATACCGAATTCCCAATAAGATTTAGTAGCTGACGACATTCTTTCGGCGACGGCGTGAATCCTGTGTGGATGCTTGTCAAACAACATCGAGGAGGAACAATTAAGTCAGTTGTGCCGGTACCCAAGTCATACAGGAAGTTCTCGGAGAAGCTCCTCGCGAAAAAAGATGACGAGTATCTCGGCTAGAACATTCCAGATTGGATTCCTTCAGGGATCCTCATCTCGATTCACGCTTCCAATCGGAAGCGTGAATTCGGTTCGCTGAGAGCGTCCCATTGAACCTCGCTGTTTTATTCAGAAGATTTTTCGAGGGCGTCTCGCTGTAGATAACAAGGTTTCTTGAGGCTACGATCAACTCCAACGCGTAAGACGTTCCCGAGTCGGGCTCGATATCTTGACAGATATCGACTTTCTGGATGAGACATTCCGGTAGGCTGCTGATTATTATTCGCTCGTTTTTATGTCGCTACCGTCTGTCAAGGTCAATGATAAAAGGACCAATTGTGCTGTTCGGTAACGTCTCAGCCGGCTACCCCCCTCCTTCCGGAAAATTAGAGATCAGATGGAGCTCGAGCTCGCTGGGGAAATTTCACGCTCGCAGAAATGGGATACCCATGATCCACACTATGCCTGTTTATCCTAGTCAGGATCGAGAGCTCGACCAAAGTGTCTGGAGGCCCAGAATGTCGTCGGGAGCCGATCATCGGACTTTAGGTAAGCATCACCCCAGTCTCGAGCTCCAGCCTGCTTCCTCCTCTCGGATGGGCTGTCAGGGGAATCTTGGGGAGACTTTCGAAAATTAATGCAGATTCATGCCGTGGTGTCTACACAATGGGCTTCGCGCGAGTAATGCATGGTGCTTGGTACATGAGATTACACTCTGCAAATGCGATGCGCTGTCTCCGCATCGGGGTATGCCGGTACTTATGAACTAACTGGGAAGTCGTAGATCGCATCGGCTGCATGATGAGCTCACAATTCGAAGAATGCATTGTATAATCGTACTGAGAAGAGAGGAGTTTAAGTGGGACAGCGGTGAAAGTGAAATCCATAGCCGCAGCCCCACCCAGCGCGTTCGCTTGTGTGCGTGTTATTATTATAGGAGGCACTTTCCGCTTGCGGTGACACCCTCACCAATAAGCTGCTCCTAAGAACGACGCGGGCGGATATTCGATGGGATTTGAATCTCAGTGCCGACCGGTAGTCGACAACGACGGGGAATAGTTTCCCAGGTTCGACAGAACGACTGCACTGCGTGTTCCCAGTGACTGAGGGAGAAGAGTACGACTCGCATTCACAGAGCTCACAGCTCCACAGATTGACTTCTGAGACGTCGTTACTAACTTAAGTGAGCCCTGGAAGTTCCCCTCGCTGGATTCGAACCGGGTTGCATCATATAGTTCATAAAAGTGTTCGTGACGGAGCCAGCTCTCATTAGTCTCATCCGAATCCCATTCGACTGAACTTGCCCAGTCAGTGCAGGGTTTCGGTGGCGGCTTCGCCCAGTTATCTCAAGGACCATAGATCGGCAGTGCACCAGAGCAGAAGTCTCCGAGTTCGAACGGTTAGTTCTCTTCCTTGCTCCCGGAAGTTTCCCCGAGCTCACACCCATTGAATTCCTTCAAATGTTTCTTCAGAGGCATTTTCCCGGGAGCTCTTTTCGAGCTCACAAGCTCTACTCTCCCTGAATCGGGTTCCCCCCGCGTGCTTAATGAGTACGAAAGACCCTTCGAGCGTAAAAGCCGCTCTGGAGCCCTTGTATGGACTCCCCTCCCCATCATCAAGGATTAGAGATCAGAAAGCATGGACCTTCAGAATGCATGTATGATCTCTTATGGAAAAATAAAATGTCGGCGATTCTGCTGCGGACTCGAAGTCGCATGCGACGCTGGCTCTCTCAATAATTGTCTGTGTGCGATACCTGAGAAACCTCGGTGGAAGGCGGATAGCGCATGGAAAATATGAGCGACTCCTTCTTCTAGGCGCCCGGGGGAAGATTTTCGGATTGATCCAGACTTATTGTTTCCAGCTCTGTAGACCGGCTGCTGCTGCTGTAGGATACAGAGCCACGAGTGGAGTAGAGTTCAGGGAACGGGTCGAATCATTCGCGGGATGACAGAGCTCCAGCAAATGGCAGGCTGACTGCGCCCGCCGAAGACAGTGCGAAGTGCCAAATCCAGTCCGGGGACGATCCGAGAACAGGTTGCCGCGCGGTGAGTTTCTCGATTCTATCGATGACTCGCTTCCGATGAGCCTTTCCTACAGCTCCCCGGAGCACTCCCCTTAGAAGAAGTGACGACGGTCTTCCGAAGCCTTCCGAAGAGTCGGTTTGGAACGGACAGGTCAAGAAGCGGATCGAAGGGAATGGCTAAGGAAGTTCGGCACTCCTACAGGTCATGAAGAATGTTGCTGTCCCAAGTCGCCTTGAAGTGGGTGGCACTGAAGGCTTTGACCGGCCTCTCGCTTCTACCTCTCATGGCTCTGCTTATAGTATACAGTGAGATCGAGGCTCCATCGTTCAACCGGAAAAACTTCGATCCCGAGTATGACTACATAATAGGTGAGGCGTCACACTACCAGTACTCCTAATGGATTAGCCCCGGGAACTCCTAGAGCTAGCTGGGATATATTTCTCTCCGTTTCAACAACTGACTCACGAGCAGACTTTCTCCGACTATCACGCAATCGATGAACTTGGAAGCCCTAATTTATTGGTATGGCTAGCGAAAGCACTGCACACCCAAGTAACCTTGATCGACTCTTATCAAATGCGCGCACTGAAGAAGCACTGAAGCTCGTCAGTTACGTCTCCAGTGACGACGGTAATTCCCTCGATGAACCCTGGGCTCTTGTGGTCTATAGCGGTCGCGCTCTCGTGGCTCTGTTGGGCGAAACTCACGGATGCACTTCAGACACACGCTTTGACAGACACCGAGCGGGGGCTTCCGGCCAGAGCCTGGACACGTTGCTTGATGACTGAGTGACGAAGCGGCAGCTGTAGCGGTAGCAATGGCTTTCGCCGCAGCGTTCACCCTAGCAAAGACTCACAAGAATACTACCCATGCGGGATAGAGACAGCGCCAAGATGAATTGATCCACTCTGAGCGGAATATTTGCCCGCATCGCAGACTCTTGTGCAATACATTCCGAAATCTTTTTGTTCGATGTCATGAATGATCCAGCAATAGTAATTTCGCGGTCGAGTCGGTTCATTGACGTATCATCATTCATCATCTCAATCATCCATGGTTCCCCGATGGCGACCGGAATTACGCTAAGCACTCATGAGTCCGTGAATTCATTAAGCGTAACAATTCACCGTTGTAGTGGGAGGTGGATCCGCCGGGGCGGTAGTCGCGTCCAGACTATCAGAAGATCCGACAGTCAAAGTGCTTCTGTTGGAAGCGGGAGGAGCTCAATCGGCGCTGCACGATGTCCCGCTCCTAGCCGCGGAATTCCAGAAGACGCGGGTTGATTGGCAGTACAAAACTGTTCCGCAGGATGTCGCTTGTTTCGGTCTGGACAACAGGGTAATTCTTGCGTGATTTTTCGTCGAACCCCAGCACCCTATTATATTCATGAACGAGCCAAACTGTGACGTATATATCAAGAACATATTGTCACAAAAAATGTTAAAGAATGTGATGAAGAGCAAGCTCGAGGACCGAAACTCTGCGCTAGAGAGGTATTCGACTGAATACCTAGAGGAAGCAAAAATTTCCAGCAAAGTCAATGGCCACGCGGAAAAGTTCTTGGTGGCTCGAGTGTGCTCAACTATATGCTCTACGTTCGCGGTAATAGGAAGGACTATGATTTCTGGGACACAGGCATGGGCTGCGTCGGATGGAGCTGGAGAGAAGTTTTCCCGTACTTCCTGAAGTCAGAAAACAACAGAGATCCGGACATCCTACGAAATGGGTAAGTAACGCACTGGATTCGCATCGCAGCACTCAAAGATTCCATCACGAGTCGATTCTATTAAGATCTGTCGAATCCAAAACAGGTATCATGTCAGCGGAGGTCCCTTGACCATAGAGAGAGCCCCGTTCCGATCGCCGTTGGGCGAGGCATTCGTGGCGGCAGGAGAAACTTTGGGTTATCCGAGGGGCGACTACAATGGTCACATCCAGACTCGCTTCGATATTCCGCAGGGCACAGTCGAAGATGGGAAGCGAGTCAGCACAGCAAAGGCATTTCTGTATAAAGCTCGCAAGCGGCCAAATCTTCATATACTCACTAACGCTAAAGTACTCAAGGTGAGATGCTCTCTCCGGTGGATGGCTGAAGCCCGGAATGCGCTTCGGAAAAGTTCACAAAAGAAGAGATCGCCTCGTTCGGAACGAGAGACCCGGACTGCGGTTCTGACGGACGATGATCAGTTTTTGTAATTCATTCACAGCTGGTGTTGGAAGGCAAGCGCTGTGTCGGCGTCGTGTTCCGTTTCCGTGGATTCCCGCACGTCGTTCACGCTTTGCAGGAGGTGATTCTGTCGGCGGGTGCCATCAATTCTCCCCAGATCCTCATGCTGTCCGGTATAGGACCATCCCAACACTTGCAATCGCTCGGGGTATTATGACGTTCCTCGGTTTTCACGTCGGGCACGCGGAGAAACTTCAGCGTGTCTCTAGGAGCACCTCACAATTTTTCGAAGGCGATCCCATTGGACTTGATTTTCAGATTCCTGTGGTAGCAGATCTCCCGGTCGGGCGCAATCTTCACGACCACATAGGAGCTGCCGGTCTGAGTTTCCACATCAATCAGACGTTCTCTGTCGTCAGGAAGCGCGTGGACATCGACAAAGTACGTGGCGGAGAGTTCATTCCCTCCAAGACTACCCTCCCTTAGACTGTGCACCTCAATCGACTGCCGGGTCATCTATAGTATTATCATCATCATATTTCATCTCGTGACGGGATCCTCAGCTTGAGGTTGCGCATTCCAGGTGATTCAATACGTTTTCAAGAAACGGGGTCCCTTGACGCTTCTGGGCGGAGTGGAAGGCGTCGGCTTTTTGAAGACAAAGTATAACAACGATAGCGGAGATTGGCCCGATGCCGAGATCCATTTCGTGTCGTCGTCGCCAGCGGGCGACGGGGGCGCAACGATCAAGAAAGTCATGGGTATCTCCGACGAGTTTTTCGATCGAGTCTACCGACCGCATCTCCACCAGGACTCGTTCACTCTGTACCCCGTGCTGCTCCGACCTCAGTCACGAGGCTACGTCAAGCTTTTCTCGCCTGATCCAGATGATCCTCCCTTGATCAATCCGAGATATCTCACAAAGAACCGAGACGTTCTCACTCTCGTTGAAGGTAGGTCCTCGTTACATACGCTTCGGCGAGAAGCCGACTCGGTGACGTTCCTATCTTCGTATGGTTCGCAGCATTCTCGCAGAACTCATCGATTATACAATAGGAATCCAGCTGAAAGATAAAACAAAAGAACGACGAAATCATTGATCCCACAGCCATGAAGCAATGCTTCGCCATCGGTATTTCGGAGCCTTTCCGGAAGTTCAATGCACAGCCATTCAACATGGTGTTCCCCGGTGAATAAGTTTTTATTGCTATTTATTTCTCTGTGCGCCATGTGTCGCTCTGTGGAAATCCACTGGCTCCTTCCGGATACGCGCGCGTTCGGACACGGAATCTATTCTCTGTGTTGATTTCGAGTCTCGCTGTTAATTTTCCACAGGGTGTGAGATATATCCGGTGCATTCGGATGAATACCTCGCGTGCATGGCCCGTACCTACACAGCCACTATCTACCACCCGGTCGGTACTTGCAAGATGGGAGATCCGGCTGACCCCAGCACTGTGGTGGACACCCAGCTCCGGTACGACCCCGAACTGCTTGAATGATTCGGTCAATTCCCAGCTTAGCTCCGTCGGTCTGATAATGAGACGATAAGCTCCCACGGTCTTCTACAGAGTCAAGGGGATCTCGGGACTCCGCGTTGTAGATGCTTCCATCATCCCGAAAATCCCCTCCGGCAACACGAACGCTCCCGTGATCATGGTAGCAGAACGTGCGGCTGATCTGATCAAGGGTATCCGGAGCGCTCATCTTCCTGACGGCTCGATTCTGTATGTCCCTTCCGATTTGGCGAACTCCTTGTTTCAGGATAATTCCCTCTTATAGACTTGCTCCCGCATTTCTCTACGGAAAGATATCCTGTGCGACCGTATAATAAAGTTGCGCACAAATGACGGATTGACGACGTTTGTTCTCAAAAATCGGTCAATCATGCAACGCCTTAGCGGGATACGAGAAAAAAACCTCTTGATCAGTCAAATATGGTCATCCTCACGGTAGATCTTTATTACTCATTCATTCCTGTACATTTCCACGTCTTCTGTGATTCTTTAAAGCTTTTGAATGGAGTCTTCTATCAGGAGGGTTCCTGACCTCGCTGAGTCTCGTTGGGTCATTTCCTGAGATTCTCGATCTCTGAAGGTTCCGATGCATCTCCCCAACAAAATCACAGATCGTTGAATACTTTTGTTGATTTGAGTCGACAGTTGCATGATCCACGGCGGAGACCTCCTCGAATTTCCTGAGAAGACCGGTGTACTCCGCCCCAGGACCTCGGAGAAATGTGGGTTCCATCAAAAGTGGGGCATGCAAACCTTCCCCGCGAATAGCTCCGAGATGACGGTTATCCACAGGGCGAGGATGAAGAGAATATACGAGATCCCAACTTGATGAGATGAGGGCAATTGATAGGCTTCTCCGCCTATTTGGTCGGTGCCGAAACCGATCGGGAAGATGACGGCGGCGAAACAGAACAGAACCTGCAAGGAGACATTTGTTACTCTCTCTAAACTATCATGACTATCTATCTCTTTACGGTCTCTATGTGCCTTACGTATCCGGTCGATTCGATTTTGGAACGCACCATGGCAGCAAAACCGGACCATCGAGCGTAGTAAGCGATAGCGGCACTACGTTGAGCAAGAGCCAGCAGAATCGTCGTTGCAGTGATGCATCCGCAACCGAGAATTATGCATGTCTGGAAAATGAATCAGGTCGAGGATCAATCCTCCCGCTTCTCGCTTACGATGAAGGATCACTGGCGTGAAGAGAGTAGGATAGGCGACGTAGAACGTACCAGAGTTATCATCCACTCGATCTGGAGTTTCGGCGGATAACATGTCAGCCCATTGCGACCGTATATTGTGATGCAAGTCTGCAAAAGTCCCAGGCGAGTATCCCCTGTGACAAGATAGGAAGAACGTTCGTATACGAGGTCCGCGGCCAAGACCCCGAATTTATTCCCGAATAGAGACGCTGAGGAGCTCATCTGAGGGTCGAAAGTCTTCTGTAGGAAAGTGTCCGCCGTGTACTTTACCTCCAACTTCACTGATGATCCAATCCGGTAGGATGAGACTGAGAATCGCAAAAACGTTGGCACAAATGAAAAGAGTTCCGGATATCAAAGACAGTTTATCCATGGCGAGCCTCTTCCTCACGACAGGTGCGACTTCTTGAGCCAGAATATTCCCATATACGCGGCTAATCGCTTTGAGTTTCGGGATTACATTTCTGACTTTTTTCTCCGGAACTTCGCCGCAACATCGGCTACGGAGCTCATCGCGATGTAAACAATGATGTATCCGACGAGGAGGGGACCGAGCCTGAGCAGCGCTTGACGGAGCAGCTGATCCTCAGAGACGCAGAGCTAAAGACCTCCCGGTCTGTGATGGGCGCTCGGGCCTCCGGGCCCTCGATATGTATCGCGAGCGAAGAGCTGCCTGATTCAAGCGGCATTCACACGCTACGAGATCACTCAGGAGGATCTCGAAGTTTGCCTCTGTCCGGGCGCAAACGATCCACCTTCTGGGCTCTAGACTTTCTATGCCCTCACAGAAGAACCCAGCGGGGAGTCGCTCACCGCTTTTCGGTTCCAGTGCTGCCGCAGTGTGAGCTTGAATTGGGTCGGAGCCGAAAAGCGTTGAATCGAGAGCGGAATAATCCGCCATCCCCTGAGAAGCCTAACGCTCCTCGTAGGCGAGCCTCCCAATGCCGTCAATTGCTCGATCGGGCTCCATGAAATGAGAGGTGCTTCCGGGCATTCGTGCGGAAAGGAAAGTTTATTCGAAATTCTACGCCTGAATGCCGTGATGTCTACGAGAAGCTCGAGGAATAATTTGAAGGAGTCAGACCCGCTGATTCAACGCCAGGGCAGAGCGTGTGGGGTGGAGATGAGCATCCGCACGAAAAACGATTTCCAGCGAAGAGACCGCTCGCGGCCCAGCTAGAAATTGTCCCTCGCGAAATTACCTTCTGCGCATCGACCGCTAAACGTCCCCCTCGAATCACTGTTCCAAAAAATACGATTCTAGAAACTGTGCAAGCATATTGATGACTCCCAAGACCACCAAGACACTATGGAAGATGCCTCCGAAAATTCCCAGCTTCCCGTGCTTTCTCGAGCCGACCATGTAGACGATCGAGGGCAAGGCGAATACGTATGCCATTCCAGTCATTGCTCCGCAATACCTGAAAGGGCGAATCCTAGTACTGTATATAGAGGCTGAAGTATCGTGCCCCCCAAAATAGATTTCCGAATTCGAGAATGGCAACGGAAACATTCGCCACTAACATCTATTACGGTACGTATCCGATCTGATCAGCTCACCTGAGAATAATTCCGATCTGAGGGACGAAAATTGTGATGAAAATGCAGACACCGATGAGAGCTGAATTGAAGAGGCAATTCCTCAAATAATCTGGAGGAAGAGATTTGATCGATAAGTCTCATTTGATGAGAGGTCGCTATCTCTATTATCTGAGCCTTTTGTTCCGAATGTCGGGTAAACTGTCAACGGGTCAACTGTCGTTGAGGGACATGCCCGGAGGACACTCTCACCGGAATCAGGGGATTTACACACGGTCTTCAACACGAGGTCTCTGAGGATCGATGCTATCAGCGGGAACAAGCTCAGATACTGCAAGAGTAGGAATGCCCGCGTCACCGTTGCCAGGTTGTCGTTCGCAGCGAAGTTCCCCACAAAATTGGCCGATATACAGCCCTTCTTCAGGGGAAAAGTGAGATAGAAGGGTATCCCTGGAAGGGAAGGATTCCAGGACTCTCCTCAGTGGAAGACATAGATCCCGGATCGTCCTCAAGACGTCGGAAATCCTCAATGCATTCTCCCGGATTCGGAGTCCAAGGAAACTATAGAATGGAATCCCAGCCCACCTATCAAGAGATACGTTGCTGCCACTAAGCCGAAGGCAATGCAGAGATCTCTTGTGTTCTTCGCAGGATTATTCTGCAACTTCAGGAGGGTGAGAATACAGTTCTGTACGAAGAACGACATGCACAGCACTCCGGTCAGTGAGACGAAAGTTGTTTTGAATGCTGGAATGAGATTATTCCTCAGAGATGGTTCCCGCAGGGCAGGAAGATTAGTTTCGTGATGTCTTCCTCATATCTGATCATCTATGATCATAGCGATCGCAATGCTCGAGACACTCACGAGCATCATAGTGAACGGAGGTGGAGTTCGAGAACTCGATATTCACTCCCCACTCCGTGGCGTGATAGGTGACGAAACCGAGGAGGTATATCGCCGAGAGGGTCCCTGTGGGACGAGAACCATCAAGAATCAAATATTTAGGGAATTCGAGCTGCTCCAACACCTCGCTTCGGATCTAAATGAATCCACGTAGGTTCCATTTACTCTAGGCAATGTTGACAGAAGCATGTCGTCGGATCGTCAAATTTCGACCGATGCTCCTGTGGCACATCGAGCTCACCGAGGGCTGTGAATTTCTGGGTGAAACCAGCGTCTCGGATGCTGACGAGGGGGAATACGACGAGAGAGAGTACGCACGGCCACGTGAATCTATTGTCGAGCACTCCGAAAATCCATGTATTCTGTAAAGCAGCTCCCGAATGATTCGGAGACCGCGATCCTCCGCGAATCCATCGTATTCTTCCCCTACTCAAGATATTATCAAAACGTGGCTCCTATTATCCATCAATGCAGAAGAGTTTTGCTCAATACCTTCCGGAAGTCCGGTTCCGTCTCGTAGTCGTCGGTTATATTGCTCGGAGCGCTATTCCCGTGACATTCCAAGGGGTTTGAGATCTTCAGGAGAGTATGGTGACCAGACGCAACGTCTGGGGGCGAGATTATGATATTGAGAGAAACCCCATCTGAGGGATCCATGGGGTGAATTCACCTGATCCATCTTGCTTGTCCTGGACAGGGAAATCTTACCGTAGACGAAAAGCCCGAGGTTGTGCAAGAACTTCGACATTAGCTCCCAGAACACGATTGTTGTTCCTAATAAAGCCACGGCCGAGAATATGACAGCCACCCAACGACCTATCGGTCCCAGAAGCTTCGCGCAAACGTCCACGAACTCTATATCTTCATTCTTGCGAGCCGGTTCCATCAGACGTTTTGCTGTAAGTGTTTTTTGGATCATTCATCATTTCAACCGATGACGTAGCAGATCAGACTCCTCCCACGAATTCCTTCCGGTGCTCGCTCGATGCGACTCCGGCGGACCCTCTTGCGAGAGTGCGTACCTGGATCCACGAGTCTTCTGTAGGAAGGCATCGTGTCTGGGTTCACGGGTGCCTCCTGTAGGAATCTCGGGGAATCCACCACCCTGTACGTCGTGTAGAGACAGAGAGCACCAACGATCACGAAGCAAATTATCGAAGCCCCGATTCCCGCCTGCGCGACAGCCCAGGGCATGGTGAGCATCGATGTGCCCAGCATGGTATTCCATATCGCAAAACTGTAATTCAAACGCAAGGATCCGATCGTTGTCTGCTGCCGGGATGTTTCCGATTTTGGGGATAGGAACTCACATGGTGACCAGGCTGCTGTGAGTTTTGCTCCCGACTGCGTCGGCCATGCCGAGAAACAAACCGTCCGGCAGTCTGCGAGTATATCTCTAGTACACACACGCTCGACCTCAGTTCTCCTCAGTGGATGCCTCAAAACTGACGGCGCTCGCCAGTCACAAGGATCTGCAAGTACGTCGTGGAGAAACGCCATGACGTCAACTAATGAGAACTCTCAATAGAACCTTCAGATGGAGCTGTCCCACTGGGCGGATCGGATAATGTGTTGGAGCCTTGCTGTGTTCAAAGAGGGAATAAGGAGCTTTTGCAGTCATCGATAATAATATTCAATAGGCGTTCTCGAGTCCCAGGCTCAGAGAAACCTCGCGCGAGATTCGAGATCCCGGTTCATTAGGACCATCGACAGTTTCGGCTGTCGAGAGAATATTCCGGGAGAATGGACGTCAGCAATCTATCTATGTACAGTGAAAACTCGGCTTTACATAAAAACGCTGCCACGAGGGTTTCTGGGAGCGAGGATTAGCTCCGAGCAGAGACCCCGAATTCCTATTTCCAATCATTGCGCTCGCATTATGGCTTTTTCGCTATGCTTGTCATGGAACTATAGCGAACGAAAAGAGGGTTAAAACCTCTTCCGGCGCAACAATCCTTCTGCCTCTCCGCGATTTGGAGAGGAACCCGTGTCGGGTTCGGAACTCACGGTACAGGTATGTGTGATATGATGGCTTCATTGATATGGCCCTAATCGGCATGATGAATTCGACAGAACTGAGCTGTCGATGAATTCTTTTATGAGGGACGGGAATACTGAATCGAATTTTCGAAATCGGAATCTGTTCCCGCGCCCGGAGGTCTCTCCGAAGTCTGAGCCCGGAAATTTTTCCCTTGAGACGAGAACAGTCCAGAATCAGCGACGACGCATGATGTATTCACCGTCGTTCCAACCTTCGCGATGAGCTAAGGAAGAAAACGCCGTGCCGGCCAAGATAGATTTCCATAGACGCTAAAGTTTATTCGAGTCCGTCGAGCGGAGCCATTGACATTTCAATCCTCCCGAACGGTCTGGCAATGCTTCGATTTCGTGCGCAACAATTTCCTCGCAGACAGACTAGGCTCTCGAAGCCAGAGACTTAAGATCGACGATGCATTGGTTGAATGCTTCCTTCTCCTGCTGAGGCGATAGCGACTTCAAGACGTTGGATACAATCCAGTCAACCATGTGCTGCTGCTGAAGACGACGTTCGATGTTTACAACTTCGAGATGGTAGTCCAACTTCTTCTTAACCTCTTGGAAGACCTGCGAAGAGATATCCACGTCATTACGGATAATTCAGCGATGGCCATGTCCTGTGTCTGAGAAAACACCTCGTGGTTCCCGGGATCGCGCGGTCTCCTCGGAAGGCAGAGGTGCAGACTGAGCGATCGGAAATCCCGGTTGAAACACACCTTCAGGTTCCGTCTACGGTACTCGGCCTCGAGCTGCAAAGCGATGTTCTCTTTCTTGGATTCGATGATCATGTCCTGTGCCGCAGTTTGCTTCTGCGCGAGTAGTTCCCCTGTGAACGACAGGGAGTTGATTCTCATGTACAAGACTTCGACGGCTCGAAACTTACGGAACTCGCTATCCGCAAACAAGCGATTGTCTGAACGCGGCAACTTGCCTTGGATGGCTTCCTCGATAGACTTCTCATTTTCGTGCACGAATCGTCTGTTCTCCTCGAGTTCTTTGTCCACTTCCTTGTCGAGGATAGCGGCTACATCCTTGCCGTACATCTTGTGGACTGCGGCGATCATGGTGAAGAAACAGATTCCGAACAAGAATTCCTCTTCAACGACCATGATCTCCTTGGACAGCACGGTGGTGATGAGACCGGCCCCGAAGACGTAGGGTCCGAGAAGTCCAGTTTTGGGGTAGAAGAACTGGAACCACTCCTCGGGTATGAAGCCCATCCTGGAGACAGTGAAATCGAACTTGACTCTCTCCGACGTCGCTCACTAACAGCTCGCGGAGGGCTCTCTCTGTCGAGATGAGATCAATACCTATATTGTCGCTCGCTCGCTCGCTTGCTTGCTTGCTCGTTTGTTTGTTTGCTTTTTCGTCGTTCCTGAGAACTCCTCAGCAACTCAGCTCGCGAACCGCTGTTCGCGACTCAGCGGATTGTCGTATTATCCCTACCTCACAGGGCCTGGTAGCTCGGGCTGCTTTAGTCGCGGGAAGTTGACCAAATCTCTATCAGGGTGTTCTTTAACCTCGAGAACTTCGCGTTTCCACAGGACGGGCTGAGTGCTTGAACACCTGGCGTTGGCAAGGGTGGCCGGAGCCAACTTCCTCGCAAGAGCGACTCTCGACAACATCACGGCTTCAGGCTCCGAATTTTCAGAAAGAAATCGGAGCAAGAATCCTAGCGACCTCGGTGCCCTTCTGCTGTCGTCTTCCCAAGACCGACAGTCGAAGGCTCACTTCCAAAACAAATATGGCGGAGGCGCTCAAATTTGAGCGCAGCGCGCTTAGAGCTCGGTGAATTCCATGACGAATCGAATAATAAAAAGGATGGATAGAAAGGGATGAAAATGATCCGACCTGGGAGGTCTGAGGAGATTGCTCCACCGAGCGAAAGTCCAGGGGAAGCTCATTCGGATGAAGGAATCGAGATGGGATGAATATCAGATCAGCCATTCAGTGGTCATTGATCATCGACGATAATTTCGGCGGTGTCTGATATGCCTGCAGCCCGATCGGTTCCAGGCGATCCCCCTTCAATCTGAATCCGGTTCTCTAATCGCTACCTCAGTGCCCCTCTCACAGTGCTCGTTTTCATCAGAGTTCGCAATGCCTGTCCGAGGCTTCGAGGCTCCAAACATGAAAATGCGCAAATACGCATGCCGATGTAATCGATCTCAAATCTTCTCTTCAAGCTCGGCCCCACATTCAGCGATTGATTGCGAATCGCTTCCGATTTTCGTTTCCTCGCAGCGGGGAAACTCTTTGATAAATCCAGGAATTGCCGATAGCTGGTTGATGACGCTCGAATCGATGAATGAAGCGTGGATTCTCGGGATTGTCCTCTCTCCAGAACCGAATTTCGAAGGAAATCAAACGCCGGCAGAGATTTCGGATGGCAGCCGACCGAATCTCGCTTAGTCACGGCGGCAAGAGCCAGCGAATATCTGCACGCTTCGGCTGGCGCTGATGGTCGAGCTTATCAAACTCTCTCTATTACCACTTGCTCGCGACTCATTTCGCACATTGCTGAAGAGCTGCTCCGCCGGGAGGTCATTGCTTTTTGGAGGTTATGTTCCTTAGAAAGCCATTGCAAGGTTCCGAGCGGATGGAGGATCTGACCAGGAGCGTTCCCAGGATTTTTTTT